ACTATCAAGACTACAATATCACCTGCATATTAACAAAATCATTCATCCACATTAGTTTAGCTTTATTATTAATAAATTAGTAGATCATGTTTTCCAGAAATTACTTCAAATATTACAAATAGATATAAATAAAATAAACATTCTTTAATAATCTCGTTAGACATTCAAGCAACTTTTGACTCTATACGTTGGACAGATACAATACAAATCCTTAAATTCATTAATTGTCCAAATAAAATATTCCTATTATTAAACGATTACTTCTATAACAAATCTCTGCAATATACATTAAATAGTGGAATCAAATTATATAAAATTACAAGAGGATGCCCACAAGGATCTTGTTTGGGTCCAGTTATTTGGAAATTTTACAGCAAATGAAATATTCAAAAATTTTTACAATATCCCTCATACGCACGTACAAATATATGCATATGATTTCCTACCAATAGCCGAAGGCAATAGTAGCAAGGATATAGAAGAAAACTCCAAACAATACCTACAAATCTTTAAACAATAAAGCAAATAAATTTCAGTTAAAAGTATCAATTCTGTAGAGTAAAGCTTTTTATATACCAAAACAGGGCACCAAGATAAAGAACCTTCGAAACAGAATTATCAAAATAGCCCAAGATAGAATAGCAATAGTAAATTCATTACTTTACCTAGGTATTATGCTTGATAAATAGACTTTCACGGCATCAACATATTAAATATATCAAAAATAAACTTCTAATATTATCAAACTCAATAAAAACAACCGCAGCAAGAACTTGGAGAATTTCTTCTCAATATCAGAAAATTTGGTATTCAAGAATAATAGAAAAGGTTCTTCTACATGGCGCATCTGCTTGGGGCATAGATCTAAATCAGCATGCAAAACGACAACTTACTTCAATGCAACGGCTTTTTCTGCTATCAATAACAAAAGCATATAAAACAACACCTACCAGTCCTCTACAAATCATTTCAGGTATTCCACCAATAACTCTGACTTTACAGAAAGAAACCGTTAAAACAAAAGTTTCACGCCTACGAGAAAAAAGTACCTATAATTCTAATATCTATCATCCAGCAAAATATGAAGAACTCAAACAAAATACAAACTTACATCCAAATCAGTTATATTCAAAAAATCCGATAGTAAATTCAAACATAGATCATTTTCAAATTCAAATTTTTACAGATTGATAAAAAATTCAGTATTTCAAACAGAACTATTGGCTATAAGAGAAGCAATAACATATTCAGAGCAATTCTCAATAACCAGTGTTATAATTTCTGACAGTGCCTCAAGTATTCAAGCAATAGCTGGCCATAGTCGCTCTCTTTTGGTTCAAGCTATACAATATTTACTCGCATATTTTCCAACTGGACAAAAACCTGAACTACATTGGAAACGTGCCCACGGAGGAACATTGGGCAACGAAATGTCAGATAGCTTGATAGAAGAGGTTGCAAATGTTACTACAACAGCAATAAACTATTTAACCAAATCCAATATCGCTTTTAAAATGAAGATTTGAATAAGACTTAATTTCTCAACTGAAACTCATGTGGTCACAAGATGGCAGACAAACGTTTTATGTTCCTACCAAAACCAACATGAAATTTAGTTACAACAAATAATGCAATAACATATTTTCTAGGACCCTTCATTTCATATCTTTTTCGTTTCGTTTTGCATCATACAGACAACTGCATATGTGGATCAACAGGAACAATAGATCACTACCTGTTTGAATGTGCAATCACTAAAGACCTTCACTTTCGTCCAATCACAAGTGAAAATGCCCAAGGTTCAAACAACTACTCAGAAGAAAACCTCTTCGCAAAAAACTTCAAAATTTAATGGAATATCTCATAGGAAATTGTGATAATCTAAAAGGAGCATAAATTAAAGCATCACAATTCCACATCAGCATTATTTCGACATAATTAGCATAACTTCAGTCAACAAATATGAAACTTAGCCCAGACTAACTATAAACTTTATCAGAGCTTCAATAGATGTACTTCAAATTAACTATTAACTTCAATAGATAAATAAACTTTAACAGACTTATGTACTGTAAACTTTTAGGAATAGTGAACTATTTATCAACTGTGAACTATTATTTACATTTGAAAATATCACCAAAATCCTATATTATTTCTTATGTATATACCCAAAATTTTGTATTAACGTACATTATGCATTCTATATTCTAGGTGAGTACGATCAAAATTTCTGTTAATTTGTATATGAAATTCTGTCAGTGTATGTCAAGTATATGAAAAAATTATGTATACATCAAAATAAAATTTTTATTGCAATATAAAATTTTAAATAAACGTGGTCCCACTGAATGAGCAATAAAGCTGAAAGTCTGCATGGCGGCACAGCTGCTCACCCAGTGGTCTCCTGTCTCCTGTATATAGATCCTCACTTTAAAATTTATCACACTAAAAATGAATTTTAAGCAAATTTTTGTTGTCAGTTGTATAATATCAAAAGTCACTAATAGGGAAGTAAATACTGAAAAGAAAAATTAATGTTCAAAATAAAAATATTTAAACAAAAAAGAAAAGTATACGAAGTATGTAAATAAAAAAATATATAAACCTAATATTTCATATATACTCTACTGAACATTAAACAACGCGTTCATCTCTCCGTAATTTGGGCTTAGTAGCGAAAACCCTCCGGCCCTGGAGAGACGCTCGCGAAAGAAACATTCAGCCAAAGCGGTATGTGAGCGTTTACTCAAGGTGTATTATTTTTTAATCTGACTTCTGCTGATCATTTGGTAGAAATAAAAATGTCGGTCCATTTTTTAACATACTTCTGTTATATGCCTCTTTTGTGCATTTAAAAATATTTTTCTTAAGTGAAATTTTCGATTTTTTATACCGTATATAGTATTCTGCATTAAGAAAAGTCCAATTAATTGTTCAGTAAAAATGTTTGTAATCATTTGTATATAATATGAAAATTAAATTTTATAATAATTTGCTTTTGTCTAGTTTCGGACGTAAATAATGTTAGTAAGTTTAAACAAATTTATCTCAAAATGCAAATTTTTCATAAGCGTGGAACTGATGCCTTGTTAATTGCCAAGTATTATGGGTTTTGAAAATATAAGGTATTAAAGCACATATAAAGCAAAAATTCAGAATTCGTGACAATGAAATATTTCGAAATTCTCGAATGGCGAAGCCCATTTTTTTTTACTTCTGTAATTGATCAGGAAATTTTAAAAAATCATAAGTGGAATTGGAACGATACACGTATTCCGAAAACTCTGAAAAACATTTGAAGTCTTAGAGCAAGTCAAACAGCAACACATTACAAGTCTTAAAACATTTGCAAAGGATAGATCATGATTATTTCTCATCATTCCTCATCACATATGATGAAGTTAGCAGGTGGCTGATATTATGGACGGATAGGATCCTTAACTGGGAACGTAAACTCAAAGAAGTGTTTTCATTGGCAGAAGTCCTCATGATGTGGCTGCCGGGCCTTTACACAAAGTTAAGTGACTGGTGAGAGTGGCACCGCTATCACATTTGTTCTCGGTGCGTACTTCTTCGAAGAGGTCCCTTCCACAGATATGAAAAGGTCTTCTCACAAGATATAAAACAATGTTGCAGAATTCCAGAATTGCAGCATCGAAACATCGTTAATGACATTGCATGGACGCAAGATAGTGCTCCTCTGCATATTGCCACATGTGTTCGACAAGCGCTGACACTGCACTTTGAAAACACAGTATCTCACGTAATTTTGCAACTTCGTGGCCACCGCGATCTCCGACCTCACTCCGATGGATTTCCGGTTCTGGGGTTACGTGAAATATAAGATTTCCACATCAGATCCACGAAATTTGTCAATATTGAAGGATGCGAGAAAACGTGAATTTATACAGACTCCTCCTGTGATGTTACGTTTGTCATTGTTGTCACCAATCTCCCGTATGCGATGCGCTATCGTCTGCGATCATGGGCACGTTGAAAACTTGTAATTCAAAGAAAAGTTTTATTCCTTTTCTTCACTTGTGTTGCCAATGAGTGTGAGATTTTTGAAATAGTTTTTCCAATATTTTTAAAAATGAAACCGAAACTGAATTAATTTTATAAGTAGTGTCATACTTAACGATAATTCCGCCTTTAAAATTCATTTTTGGTTTAATTTAGAAGTCAAACAACAAAAATCAGCCTTATATTTTCAAATTTTCACAGGACCAGTTTCGATGGTTCTTACCGAACCATCATCCGCATCTCCAAAAGCGCAATACATTTGCGTTTTTGCAGCTGAGAATGATGGTTCGGTAAAACCATCGAAACTGGTCCTGTAAAAATTTGAAAATATAAGGCTGATTTTTGTTGTTTGACTTCTAAATTAATATTTATTCGGCGTGTTATTGTACCTTAATCCTTTTTGGTTTGTTTGTTTAGTCGATTATGGCAAAGCATACTACAGCACTCAATCTAAATAAATGAGATGATTTCGTGGAAGACTTTTGAACGGATAACTATAGTTAATTAGGTTAACTATAGCAAATCATACGAGGATGTCTTGGAGGAGGAATTTTAATTGGAATTGGCCCGAATCCACCTGATACATACCAAAAACTACGAAAATGATGTCAGATGATTTGTTTTTATTTGAACCTGGTTAAGACATTTAAAACTGATATACGGATTACTGAAGCAGCAGATGGAAGCTTTCATTTTTAAATAATGACATCTCGAAATAAGAGTTATGATTTTAAGTGTTTTCTGAAACCACGTCATGATAAAGCTGAATTTTATTCATAAATGTCTGTTTCAGACATGCTGCCTAGTTTCAAAATTGATCTAATTTTTTAAAATTTTACTTAATTTAATTCTGGCTTATTACATATAGAATTATATCTAAATTAAATATTATAGAAAAGCCTATTATTCCAATTCTTAATTTACTTACTAATCCATGACTACCTGTAATTAATTTGGTTTGTTATATTTATAAATAGCTGCCAAGTATATAGACATCGAAGTTGCAGTACCGAGATGTAGTGTCAAAGAAAACTTAGAACTGGATGAAAGTCAGGTGACAATAATGTGAGTTTAACTTCCATGTGTAATCATATTCCTTCCGCAATATTTATATTTCAGACAGAAATGAATCTGAAATTTGCTTTTAACATCTTTAAATTTTAGTTCTTTGTATAGTTTCATATATTCAAGTATGGCATGCAGTTAAATAGTATCACAAATTCGAAACATCTATAAGTTTATTCTATAATTTATTAACATCATAGCAACACATTGATTCTTAATACATTACTATCATTTTAAATATTCAGTATTTTGCACTGCCTATTTAGCAGGTGTTGAATGTAATGTAATATACGAATGTAATATACGCAACCCTCCTGGCCAATAATATTCGGCCTCAGAGTTAATGCAGCCCACCCAACACAGATTAAAAAGAGAAACGAACAATTAATAACAATAATTTTAAAAAAATGCTATTAAAATCATCAAATCAAAATTCCTAGTATTTCCTGGTATTATTCTACTTCCATTTAAGTAATTTGTCAAATCATTTGCAAATCTAAGCTCTTTCCCGTGGCAATAGAATTCCTTTAGTTTACAGTCATTTGTGTTAAATATTTAGCACATACATTTATAATGTATTTTAATTTATTACAATAACTTTGAACATTTTACGAATAAATATTTTTAACACAACACATTTGAAAGGAATATATATCCTCTTTTTTTTAACAAAGATGTATTCCATTAAGTAACAAATTATACATCATAGTTATATATACAATTCTATGTTAAACTATTAAATCTAATTACACCTCAAAATCTGTTTCAGAACTGTTCGTAGTCTGTGGGAACATTATATTCTAATTTTTTTATCAATATGAAGATTTCGCACATCCCCAAATTCAGGTATAAACAAAGAGCAAATTTGTCTAAAGGCGCTATTTATAGAACATGCGCATTTATTACAGATGTTTGGGCCATGAACACGGTTAAATGTTCCTTGCCAACTATTGTGCTAATTGTTGAATTCTCTGGGATGCCATTCTTAAGCTTTCGATGCAAAACCCTCAAGCCATTCATTTTCTAAGTCATTAATATTAACGAGGCATTGTCAGAGAAAAAAAAATATTCATATATCTGAAAAGCGGTAATTGGTTCGATGACTGGTTAAATGGTTATGGCAAAGTACCAGAAAGCCATCTCTTAGATTTTGTGGAGCACTTTATGCAGCTCGTAATCAACTTTGCACTAAAGAAAATCAATTAAACCCCCATGCAGTCAGCTCATTCTTCTCAAATCACGTGGTGTGTTAAAAAAAAAAGAATTCTACAGCTAACACAATAACTAGGAGTGGGGTTCTACGGGTTCGTAGTTTTGGCATGATTGATGACAATACTTGATGAAGAATCAAAACACAATTTATTTTTCAGTATTACACAGAACGGTTCCAAAGACGTGTTACAGTGGTTGAAAAACTACGATAAACACCCTGAAGCAATCGGCAACACAGCCTTCAGGCTATCAGGCTATAACGGTGAAGATAGCTTCACGGCAAAGCACTAAAGTACAGCTCCCAACTCTGTCGATCGGTCTCAAATTAATCTCTAAACTCAGGTCACTACTACTGAAGTCAAGATACTCTTCACGGTAAAATGCTACTCGGCGTGCGGGCAGGGTGTTTATAGCTTTTGACCTGCCTTCGAGAACATTCTCGGGAAGACCAGTAAGAATTAATTCTAGAATGTTCTTATTACGTCTATGGTATATCGCCAATTTTGGCGCGAAATCCAAATCTGGCAACCCTAAACCCACTTTGCGGAGGAAGCTTTCTTACCTGAGCTGGGCATTTCGTAACGCTGCCCCCTTTCGAGACTGCACGTCCCGGGCAGTACAATCCTCGGTCAGAAGCTAAATTCAAAAGGTAACAGAACAAACAAATAAAGTAAACAAAAATAAGAGAGATAAATAGTTATACTATTTAGAAGTAACTACGTACAAGTTATATACAGAAATTATCTAGAAAATTCAATCTATGAGAATTACGGATATCCCTTAGAATGAAAAGCACTAGGTACAATGGCCGTGGTATGGGTCTAATCTGTCATAATGAACGACCTTAGGTTTGGAATTGAAGGAACTACACATCCTTATCACGACGTCGTTCTTCAGTCTTTTGAGAACTGTATAGGATCATCCCAATAAGACTGCAGTTCGGAAGAAATACCTGTATAACGTACGACCTCATGACCTTAAATACCTTACGACGACTCGAGCCTAAACCCGCTTTGCGGCGAAGCTATCTTACCGCAGCGGGGCATTTCGTAACAATACGAAAATGCTTCATCTAAATTCATCATTTACCTTCAAGCAATTCATTGAAAAGCATGCGTGTTTATGGAAAGCACCCTTTATGCAACAATTTATTTAACCAATTACGTTAGAAAGAATTATTCCAAGTACAACACTTTCAAATATAGTTTTTGGCTTTATGCAGTGTTCAGTTTCTAGCTCATAGAATTCAAATTTAATCCACAAAAATGCTATATACAGGGTGGGGCAGAGTAATTTGATTATTTTGAAGTTCAATAAAAGAAAAAGTAATGAATATATGTATTTAATTCTTTGAATAGCACCAAGTATAACATATAAAGTTTATGTTCGCATTATTTTAAAGATAATATCAGGCAGATTGCGTCCAATATTGCCAACACACTGCCGAATTTGGAAGTTTCGTTAATGTTGCATTTCAAGTGAGTCAGTGTGTTAGGACGATCGTTGAAAACAAGAGATTTTAGATAGCTCCATTGAAAATAATCACAGGGGGCTAGATCAGGCGATCGTGCTGGCCAGTGCAAATCGCCTCTTAAAGAGATGAGACGTCCTGGTAAGTGTCGCCGCAAAACAGTCACTGCATACGAGCTGTATGTGCCGTGGCACCATCCTGCTGGAACCATATATCTCTCACATTCATCTCGTTGAGTTTTGGTAAAAAAATTCGTCAATCATATGTAGTAGTAGTAGTAGTAGAAACGGAGGACGTGGGCACCATCCCTCTACCATTACGATTAATTGGTTCTGCCCACGTCCTTCCCTTATCTAGTATTTATTAATAATTGAAAAGTTTTTTACATTGCCATATTGTGTGGCTGATTTACAAATAAATTCTATACAAAGCATACTTTTAACACATGGGATTTTTTACATTGCCATAAGATGGCTATTTTTAACATATTTTTTACAGAATCCAAATTCCTAATTTTAAAGAAGTCCTAATTTATTCTTGAATATAGTACCAGGAATTAGCTGTTATATTAGGTATGTAATTGTTGTTATTCTTAAAAAATTTGGAAAAGTATGATTTAAAAAAAATCCTAAAGTAGTACTTTATAGTCCTTCATGAAATGTATCTTTGTAATTCTTTATAAAATGTCGAAATTTGTCCTTAGTAAAATAAGTTTGAAACTTATTCCCTCGTTCTTTTTCAAGAAGTTCTCTTTCGTTTTTCTTCTTTTCTTCTCTTTCCTTTAATCTTCCTTTCATTTAATCTTCGTTAAATATTCCTTTCTTCTATCTTAATTTCTTTTCTCCATTGTTCATGTATTTTCTTCCTATATATCCTACATCCTTTTACTTAATATAGCGAATAAGAAATCCATCTTTGTAAATCATATGTACATAACTATCAAAAGTCACCGAAACGGCCCGTTCGTTTTCTTCAAAAAACCGTGGTCCAATTATTCTAACTCGCAATATTTCCTGCCAAACAGTTACACGTTGAATGTAGGGGACGCTGATGAAGTTGTCGAGGGTTATGAGAACTCCAGTAGCCCATATTCTGCTTATTTGCTGATTCCGAAAGATGGAAGTGTGTCCCATCAGTGAAGAAAACAAGCGCGCTGTCAGGCATTGCAAGAAGTGATTCACATGAATGTCCTCTAGAAATAGATTCATGTGGATTACGTTCCTGCACCCTAGTCAAATTATAGGGATGAAATTTCAGTTCTTCATGAAGGATTCGCCTCACAGGTCGAGCGGACAACCCAACAGCAGCAAAATGTTTCAGAGCAGACCGCTTAGGAGATCGCAGAACAGAAAGCCTTACCATGTCTTTGTTTTGTGGTGACCTTGCTGTTCGTGGAAGTCTAGGTTTCCTGTTTTTCACATCACCAGTTTCCCTGAAGTTGTTTACTGCCGTAAAAGAAATCGATTGCCGACCAGGAACACGAACAAAGGAGCAATATTGAAATGGGCACGGAATGGACGTTCTGTGGCGATGATTGAGCGACCGTTACAAAAGTGTGCCTCAACAGCAAACGCCCGCTTCTCCTTCGACCACTCCATGATGCTAAATGAACCAAACTGGCTAAAATGTTACGGCCCGGTTTCTCGATTGTGCCTATACCCACCATTTTCGAAGCAACCGTCGCTCTAGGGAGCCAAATTTAAATAAGCTAATGCAACATTCGCCAACATACTCGTCGATGTGCTGGAGAGAGTTGAACGAAACTTCCGAGTTCCATTAACGCAGTGTGTTGACAATAATGGAAGCCATTTCCCTGATATTATCTTTAAAACAGTGTGAACATAAACTTTACATGTTGTACTTGATGTTGGTCAAAGAATTAAATATATATATGCATTACTTTTTTTTTTTATTGAATTTCAAAATAAGCAAACTGCGCTGCCCCACCCTGTATAAATTCATCATTTACATTCGCGCAGTGTATGGAAAGTATGCAGATGATTTTACCAAACTTTATTGGCTAGTTGAATTATTACCTAGCAACATAATGGCAGATTATTATTGTCGATCTGAAATTACCACCATTTCTAAACTAGGATAACTTCTCATTAGCCAACTTTTATAAGATATAAATATTAACTTAAAATATTTGAAATTCTGATGTGCGAATGCCTAAATTAAAGCTACAACTCTTTTAAATCGAAAAATAAGGTAACTAAGAGTTTTTTTAAAATAAGATATTTATTACTAAAACTAAATTTCATAATATTTCCTATTTATTGATATGCAAATGTTTAATTTCAGATGCATTGTTGGAGTTCTTCTTGCATTTGTGATATTTGGCACTTCCGTGGACACCGTGAGAGAAATTTTTCACAAAACGAAAGCTGTTGGTCGATGTCTTAGTAGTAAGTGGAATTATTTCGTGTATTAACTGCAATCGAAATTGTAAAATATGGACAATCAATGTTTCAGTTCTCAGGTACTTGTGTTTTATGTTAAAATTATTATCGACTTTTATTTTTACAACCCTTTTCGCTTTAAGAATATACAGCCATTTTTACTTCCTTATACGAAGTCAAGGAAGTATTGTAATCGACAAAAATTTCGGGTATCATAAACCAACGAAAATAACCATTCTGACGCTCTCGAATCCATATTAATGAGTGAACGATTTTTTTGGCATGACATCCGTACTTTCAAATAGAATAAAGGACCTATTTTTCCAAAAAGGATTGTAAAAGATATTTAAAATATATTCAAAAGCTAATTTTTCGTGACATCTGTATGTACGTAGTACTTACGTATGTATGTATCTTTTATTACTCAAAAACTGGGCTGAAGAAGTGAGCATTAGTCAACAACAATAACTCAAAAACTATTAGCCGTAGAATGTTGAAATTTTTTATGTAGGATTGCTATGTAGTTGCATACCTCCCTTTTTTGTTCCAGTCGGGAGCACCAGACATATATATATATATAAATGCTACTCTCTCACCCGACTCGGTGAGCTCTGATTTTTTATTTTCGTATGTTAGTAAATTGTGCATTTTTTGCTTTAAAAGGGATTAAATTATGTTGATGTTGCGTTGCCATTCGGGAAAATGAGCGCTAAAATTAGTTCAGAGTTTTTAATTAATATCTCGGTTGATTAAAGTTGTACAAAAATGAGAATGGTCGGTAAAGCTCCCACGAAGTTTTGGAATCGGGAATAATATATTTAATTTTTGGCAATGCTATTTTTATTTCATAATTTGCAAAATTCAGAAATGATTTATTAACAAACTCAACGATTTGAAAGCGAACAGTGATCTTTGACACTTCTCTAAATAAAACAGATTTTTATCTCCAGCGTGTGAGACTGTTGCCACTCGAAAAAATGAGGGCGAAAATTAGCGTTTTTAGAGTTTTTAATTAATATCTCCGCTAATTAAAGTCGTACGAATATGAGAATGTTGGAAATGGCTTCTCACGAACTTTTGGAACCCGGAGAGGGGGAGGGGACTTCTCTCGAAATTCAAATCCCTACCGTTCTGGAGCAAATATTGCCACAGAGAGACGCTCACAGACTTGTTTTGGCATAGATGCTGCGGCACCTTTACATCAAACAATATTAATTAAATCTTCTTCATTTCTCTTCATTTCTTTCCACACTAGAGGAGTTCTCTACAAGAAGCTGATCTTTGGCTGCCTTAAGCTATTCGCCAAATTTCTTCTTCAGAAAGTGTGGCTAAAGTACATTTTTCGATAGAACACTCAGTTTGAACTGGTTAACCATAAGACTTTCAATCAATATTTGCTTTCTTCAACAGAAATATCCAATATAATAAACAGTTATAATGATTCTGTCTCGAAGAAAATGTCGATATGATATATAATAATATGAGTGTAGCCTCTTCAGATAGTGCTTATATCAGATACATGAAGGCTGAATCATTACGTGTCGCTTTGTCAGACGTTAACGCTGCCTCTGAGTTAGGTTATTTGAATACGGCAAAGAATACAAGGGTTATTTGCCCAAGGATATGGATGGCTTCGTGGAGAACTTTCTAAGGGAGACTGCCTCGTATTCACGTTAAATAATCAAAAGCAATCATACACCCAACACGTTAGCCTGGAATCAAACCGAGTCGAACTAAGAGCATTCAATGATCTTAAAGCATCTGGCTACTATACCTCAAAGAAATTGTTACGTAAATTAGTATTGACACAAAAAGATTGAAAAGAATAATTGGCCAAAAAAGATTGGCCTCCGTAAGGAGTGTTAAACTGGAGAATCTGCTGAAAGGAACTTACCCTGTCCTTAGCTGCACATTGTTGTGCTATTCTTGAAACGTAATAAGGATATACCTGTTAAAAATATAAGGGCTATGTTAACAAATTATAGTTCAAAGATAATAAATGCTATTCTAACATTGAACAATTATTTTAAATCTTATTTTCGGTTTCAACAATTATTTCAAAAGGATTGAATAATTCATTTCGATGGTTAATTTTGCATCTCAAGTTACTGTACAATTTGCTTGTATACTATAGATTTTTTGCACCACTTTATACCGACATATCGATTTAATTTGATAATTTTATGTAATATGCTATTTCCCTATAATAAGACCATGTTAACAATGTTTAAGGATTGCAATGTTTAAATGTTTTTAGATTTTTTTTTTAGATGTTTTCAGTTTTTTTCATCTTTTTTAGATGCAGTCGCAAAATTCCTCCTTTCTTTCTCACTCAACACGAATGCCAATCTTCTGTTGAATACGGATGGCGCCCAAAATGGTCTCAATTCACTCCATGGAATGAGATTCTTTGGAATGGGATGGTTAGTGCTTGGTCACACGTACTTCAACAGCAATGTACAGATGTATGGTAAATCATTATTAGTATTGCGGTCCGTACGTTGTATACAGTGTTTACTACTTCTCCGTTTCAGGTTGGCATTTAGATCTAATTCAAACACTCTAATTCAAATTTAAAAAGAACACAACACAATAACGCAGATTTGATAAAATTCTACCAATTTAGACGGAGATTAGACATAAGTGTCTTCTTCAGGATCAAAATATTTTTGAAAAGGTGGAATAATTTGATACTTCTTGTAGACCAGTTTCAATGTGCATTTTTGGACGCTATTACTGGCATTTGAAATAGACACGAATAGAGTAACCAAGTATACAAAACCTCAAAGGGTGTTACTTAATGGGATGTCCATAAATGTAATCAGAAAAGAGGCCCTTGCTTCATAGGTTTGACGATCAAAGTGGCAGCCGGTATGATGTGGTAGTGTGACTGGCAGCCAATGGGCGTAAACGAAAGCGAATTTAGTAGGCAATGAGAGTTGGTAGTAGAAGTGATGTTATTCCAGATCTGCGAGAAGCACTTCAAAATTTTAGATTCCGCATCTCAAAGGCGAGTCAAGTCGAGTCAAATTAAATGAGGTCGCGGAAAACAAATAGGGCCATTTTGTTATTAATTACGTACTTCTCCAGGCACTACATGGATGGAGGGATGCCCCATAGTGGTCTTAAGGGAAACTGGCCAGTATCCACATCACATATGAGGAAAACACGAAAACGCCCATGCAGCAAGCCCGTTCGCTGGCATTCGAACTCCGAACCGAACTACCAGTGTTCAGCCGCTGATGGGAAAAAAGGTCATTAAGAAACATCACAAAAAATTGTCATGCTCGATGGTCCTTTAAGGGAAATCTCCGTAAGAAGGAAAAGGGGAAAGAAAGAGAGCCAGAAGGATCGAAGAACAATCAAGACATCGTAAATCAGACTAGAATGGGCTGGAGTACGTAGAAGCAGCAAAGCAAAGTCACAAAATTAGTAAACGCCGTGCTTGAGCACTAAATCATGAGTTTGAAATATAATTCAGTGACAAAATACAACAATGCAATACATAGTATAGTCGTAAACAATAAACATAGTAAACGAAAATTTAAATATAAATATAGTAAAAAAATTAAATATGAATGCTATGTACAGGTGCTGTTTACAAAGTGCTAAAATGCGAAAACTTGCAGGTAAATTAGCTAATAGAATTTTAAGCGGTAAAATTATCGTATGTTCTCAGGTGTGCGCTGCAGATAGTCTAAGACCTCTTTAGAATTTCATAGTTGAAAAGATCCAAAGCGTTTAGATGCTCGCAGCCAAGTGCATTATCATAAAATTTTGTGTTTATTTTGTTCAGATATGTTTAAATAGTGTCTTATTTAATAGGGGGACTGGAAAATAATGTCGTTTCTGCGCATGTCGACAACAACATGCTAAGGGCAGAAGTGGAAGCAAATCGATGTCAAACACTCTTAACCAACCTTAGTCGACCATCCAAGAACATTTAAATCAGAATGGAAAAATAAGCAAAGCAGGTGTTTGAGTCCCCCATAATCTGTCCGAAAAGAACAAAGCCAACCTATCCATCACATGCAACGTATTGCTTCAACGGCCCCATACAGAACCGTTTGTTGATCGTTTGATTAGTGGAGACAAAAAATAAGTCCTAAATGATAATCCAAAACTCAAAAGGCAGGGGTTTACATCCCGAAAAGGCGCTTCTGGGTGTTTGATGGAGTATTCACGGAATTGTTCATTTTGAATTGCTGAAACCTGGAAAAACTGTTAATTAGACCTTAATTGTGAACAATTGGATCTAGTGAACCAATCTTTAATCGAAAAATATCTGGCGATTGTCAACGGAAAAGGCGTCATTCTGCAACACGACAATGAAAGACAGCACTGTACAAGACGAACACTGGAAAAATATAATGAATTGGGGGGGAGGCACTGCCTCGCCCACCATATTCGCCCGATATCGCACCCACCGATTTTCATTTATTCCGATCCCTACAACATTTTCTTAGTGACAAAAATTTGAAAATTTGGATGATGTCCAAAATGCTATCTCGAGATACTTAACTCAAAAACCAATTGATTTTTATCGATCTGGGATTGAAATCGGCATACTAGATGGCAAAGGTTGCTGATAACAAGGGTGATTATATTATTGATTAAAAATAAAAACATTAAATTCAAATTTATTCGTTTGAATTTAATGTAAGAAAGCGACATTACTTTCCGATCTCCCTGTTATATCTCCATGAACCTTTTGATTTCTGACATAGTAATGGGCATTGGTAGTGATGCGGATGTAGCGATTTTAACCTCTTTACATCTTTGGAGACAAAAGCTCTTACATGGGCCCCACACATTACATCTATTATCCAAAAGTTTCGAATTCGTAAACCTAAACGGGGCCCATCAGCGGTCGAGCGGTAAAGTCGCTGAACATTGGTAGTTCGGTCCGAGGTTCGAATCCCGCGAACGGGCTGGCTGCATGGGTGTTATCGTGGTTTTCCCCATGTGTAACGTGTATACGAGCCAGTTCCCCTTAGAAAGTCCTCCACGAAGGCATCCTTCCCCTTAGGCAGATAGCCCTAGAGTGCTTTGCCATAATTAAATACACCACACCACACAACGTAAATCTAAACTAGACCCTTTAATTGCTCGAAACAGTGTTTTATCTATTGACAACAAGTTACTCATTTATAAGTCCGTTCTCCGTCTATTACTATGTTATGCTAGTCCAGTTTGGGCCTGTACCAAAGAAGTAATAGGAAAAAATTATAGACTTGCCAAAATTCTGTTCTTAGGCAAATAGTTAAAGCGGAGTGGTGTATTCGCAACAATAGAATTTATGAAGAACTGGCTATGGAGCAACTACGCTCACATTATTAGAAACTTGCTAAAAGCTTTCATGAAAGGCAGAAAACAATTAACAACTTGGTCATTAAGATTTGCAATTATGACTACAATGACCTAGCAAATATGGACATGCCCATGGCTCAACTGAATTTATATATTATGTAATATTTATTATAATGCCTTTACTGTTTATGTTAATATTCTCTTATTGTATTTGCTATGCATTCTTGTTAGTCTTACGTTCTTTATGTCTTTCTTATCGGATTCAAATTACCAGTGTTCGCCTAACCTTGCCTTTATCCTCAAGCTCACCAGCTCGACGACTTCTGGCCTGCCTTCATTTGACATTGCTTAACACTTTAATTAGAATTTCCTAACTTCTGGCTTAAATAGGAATTCTAAATTATTAATTATTCATTTTAAAAACTTTATTAGAAAAAACAAATTACCTCAGATATATTTTAGGTTATTTCATCATACCATTCGCAATTCGCAAACTGTTCTACAAGGGGTAGAGCCTTGTCGCTCAGGTAACCTAGTGTACCAAACACTGTTCCGCGGAGACAGACAACTTTGGAGATCATTTTATGTGGCAGTTGTCTATGCACACAAGGCATAAACTAACACTTGTCTTTACGACTGATGTTATTACTAAAGGTCCAGACTTGAGTATTTTCCAGTTGAGGGAAGTAAACTATTAATAACTTTGCCTGCTTTATTTTCAACATTATTTTTACCATCATTCGATTTTAATTTTTTGTTAAACATAATACCCAGACACTTAGTTTTCTTGATTTGAGGTACAACTTCATTGAAAAATTTACGCTTTTCGAGTAGTCTTGACCTTGGCTTTTTCTTTTTAATAATGAATAGTTTTGTGCGGTTATAGCTATTCTTCAGGATGTGTACAAGACCTCTGTTTTGCGTAATTGATGCTGGAACCTTTTGGTTGCATGATTAACATTAGTTGATTTTTCGAGAACGGCCGTGTTATCCTCGAAGTATCCAAGAAAGTAGAGTTGGTTTACATTATCCATGTGAAAATCAGCAGCATAGAAAAGGAATAAAATGGGGCCGAGAATGGATCCCTAAGGAACACCTACCCTGATCGGTCTGATGTTAAAGCGGTAATTTCCTTAGACTACGGAAAATTTCTGTAGGTCGTAAAAATATTATTAGGGAATTATTTCTGTATCAAGGCTCATTTGGATTAATTTATAAATGATGTCCTCATGCCAGACGCGGTCGAATGCTTTCGCCGTGTCTAGCATAAGTAAGGCAATATTTTTTTGTTATGAAGGGGTTCGCTTGCAATTTCAGTCAAGCGTACAAAAAAAGTAGGATCATCAATGCGGGGAAAGAAGATGAGATTAATATAGCGCTATCTGTCGAGAAAAACAGTAATGAAAGATAAGGAGGCTAAGATATTACAGGGGTTTATCATTTTGAAAACTTTGCGAAGGAATGCATTGCAATTACTGTTATTAATAACTTTCAATGTGATTTGGAAGCCAAATTAAAAGGGTGTTTTAATTTTACATCGAATAACATAAATCCGTTATTCGATCAAAAATAAACAAATCCCAGAGAGCTATAATAGCTGATCATTTAACTGAAATTTTGACTGTGGCTTTGAAAAAATTATCCACGTAACCTTTTTGGTTTGTAAAGCGGATTTCCTCGAAGCCTTTCACATTGACGAAAACTGATCTTCTGTAGTTAATGATAATAATTCTAATCCAGCTCCTTCCACCACTATCAAAATTCTCATATCTTAGCCTTTGCACGTTTTATTACTGTTTTCCTCTACAGAGGGCACTATGTTTGTTTTCGCTTTATTACGTTTTATGATTTTAATATAAATATGTTTGTATATTTAATATAAATATGTGCTTTTCCCACATTTGCAAAATACGTTGCTGCTGAAGAATTGAAGAAGAGGGGCACATGTCTTTTAGCCTTTGAAATTAATAGAATTTCATTCAAAGCTGCACCGTTTCAAAGATGGATTTTTGACTAGCTTAGAATTTTTACAATTATTATTTTTTAAAATTTGCTAACGGGTACTGTTGTTCTAGTTTAAATTTGCTAGAACTATACATTTTTCATCTCCTAAAATTCTACCAGACATTAACATCTTAATTTTTTAACTAAAATTCATTTTTAAAACTTTATTGTAAATAAGTGATCACATTTTCGAAATTATTTAAGTTTGTTATTTTAGAAAATTGTCCAGTATTATCACTTTAATTATTTAAACAGCTAATATTCATTTAAAAGATTTCTTTCTTTATATTTAAGGAAATTATAAAGCATTTCTAAAGAAAGTTTTTCCTTCATATAAAAAAAATAACATTTTTTTTTCTCTATTACCTCTTTCAGGTAATCTTTCTGAAGCGAGTGCCTTTGCCGAAGGCTTTCTTTTCCAGGTCATCGTGAATTCAACGGTATCCATCGATACTTTCTTTTTTATAAGGTACGTAACCACTTAAAGTGAATGTAGAAAGAAAAGGTAATGAATGATCCTGGCATATCCAAATTGTTGAAACTGGTTTTTCTGGGTACAGCAGTTAATAAAGAATAGTGAAGGTGTAAATTTATGCACACAAAAAAACCATCCCGTACTTCTGAGAAGTATCCTCACGAATGACAAATTATTTGCAAGGATCTTCGCATATTTTAAAAGCTTTTATTTATTGCACTCGTCGTGATTGTCTCTATGATCAGAAGTTTGTCATCAGGTTTTGATCTAGTTTCTGATAAGTTAACGATTTTAAATTTTGCACACATACTGTTTGTGGAAGAAATGCAATGTTGTGAGGTAGTTTTTTTAAATCGATTTAGATCCTTTTAATTGATTTTGAAACGATTTTTCGGTATATCTGCGTTTATTGAACAAACTAAAAATCTCAATTTACTGTTTGCACATCGAGTACAGCCAAACAAAATCTTTTAAATGAAAGTTTCTTGGAAATTTTAACGACATTTCTTATTTTTTGACGAATTTTTGAAAATCGCCTGATTTTTTTCGATTATTTGACGTTTATGATTTTTAAAATTTAATGATCTAAAAATTCAGACATAATGATTCAAGAAAAAAAAAAAAAAAAAAAAAAAAAAAAAAAACGCAATTCTCCTCCTCTCTCTATATCAGAAGAAATGTTTTCCAGCGGGAGAGATAATTAGTGATGCCATTTCTAGATATAGAATAAGATATATAGAATAATTCGAATAGAGAATAGACACTAATTCATTTCAGACTGTTTACGTTACAGGAAATTCTCATGTAACATTTTAATTTCTGTAACTTTACAAAACCTCTGCCTGTTAAAGAGCGACCTTTGTTTTACAGTGTGTCGCTATGGTAAACAAAGATAGTGAATTTCAAAGTGAATTTATTCTATTGTGGTTTATGAGCTATTGAAGAAGTAGATTTAATTCAATCCAATAAATTTAAATAAAATGCAAGAAAAATGCATATAATTTAATATTTAGCACAAGGAAGTCATTTGGTGTACACATCATATTTTTTTAAATGATTATTATCAAGTGAAAAAAAGATGGTCAACGTATAACAACTGATATAAAAGCAAGTTTTTTTAAAACGAAAATAACTGAATGTTTTAAATAAAATTTCTGAAAATTAGTTTCATTGAACATCATAAGGAGAAAAAGCATTTCATTGGTTTCTGCTTAGAAAAAGTAAATTATATGAATTGTTCATTTTTCAGTGCAGTATTACTCTCCTATTTGACATTACAAAGTGCAAGCCAACATGGATACTACAGTATTCCTCGGTTATTTATACGAAGGCTCATAAGGTAAGTCTTATTATCGTGGCTATTATGAAACTATTAATGAAATTCTATTATTATTTGTTTGTGTAAATTTCTCTAAAAAAACGTAAGAATCTTTTAACTGAATTTTCCTTGAGATAAGTTTTACTCAAAGTTAGTTCGCAAACTTAATTCGTTCAAAAAGGCCGTTTGCCGACCGAAATATTCGTAAGCCAAAGCAATGTTTCCACAGAAAATCATGAAAAATGTATTAATCCGTTCCTAAACCTCATGTGGTTAGTACTTTATACACAAATAATACACGCGGCATACATTTCTATTAGTGTTTCTGAGAAATAAAGAAGTATTTCAAAGTCACTTCTGTGAAGAAATGTTTTCAGCATCAGTTCTGTGAAGGAGTGTATCAGCGTCACTTCTGTGTAGAAGTGTATCAGCGTCACTTCTGAGAATAAGTGTTTCAGCGTCCTTTTATAATTTTTTAAAAGTTTTTTAAAAGGAATAGTTTTCTTTAGATTTCCTCTCCCCCCCTTTTTTTTTTAATTGTATCTCTTTTTTGATGTCGGCAAGTAAATACGAATTTCTGACTAATTCTAACTTAAAAAAAAGTATTCTTTTTAATCGTTAAAAGTACACTGTACCTTAGTAAATAATAATTCATATATCTTGAATTTGAAATCCTTTCACGACAGCTAACTTGACAGATAGAACGCAATGATTTCCAAACTATTAAATTATTTGGCAAGTAATTCTTGCCTAAAACGAACATTTAAAGAATTAAGAAAGGAGAGACTAGGACAAAGTAAAACTTCAAATTATTTGAAACAACAGAAAAGAAAGCCTAACTAACTTCCGAAAATGAAGAAGCAACAATGTGAAACGGAAATCCAGAGAACAAAATAATTCAGGTGAGTAAACGAACAGAACTAGAAGAGTTTCCTGCAAAATACATGCTTTCTCCAAATCTATGCCAAGCACCAGGTTGTCGGTTTGTCTAAACTTAAGATTTAAAAAACTACCATTTAATTAATTTTGTGAATGTTTAGCTGAAGAATATCCTAACATATCAAAACTAATTACTTTGTTATTTTGTTTCCTTTTGTGGCAACGTATCTGTCCGAGGGCAGCCTTTTCACAAGTTTTTTTTTTTTTTTTTACATTAAGCTGCAACAAAATGTAAATATAGAAATAAACTTGATTCTGCCTCTGATAGAAGAAATCCGTTTCTAACGTTGCGCTTTACTTTAAAATGCTCTGTAGTCCATAAACATCGAAGTAATTGAAAACTGATCAGTCTGACATTCGAAGATATAGATATCATGTAAAATGTGTATGGTAAAAGTCACTGAAAACTGAAAAGGTTTTAGTTCTTTTATATCATTTATTTCATTTATTAGTTTTATATGTCTGTAAAATTAAAAATTGTAAATATTTCTTTTATAGTTATGATATAAAAATTGGAATATATGTCTATAACGTATTAGAAATTTAATTTGTATGTGTGTGTGTAAGCCAAATTTATTCTAGATTCCTTAAAAATTTTAGAACTGAAAGTGTTTCGGGATGAGAAAAGTTTAGGAAACACTGTCCTAGACTGAGGCTTTGTCTTGAGGTATAATATCATAGATCAGGAAAAAAGTCCTAACTATCACTAATATGAAATAGATATCATAGAAAAGAAAAAAGTCCTAGTTACTCAAAGATTCTGCCTGCAATCCAGACTGGTTTTCTTCCATGCAGAACTGTCACTTGCTGCCAAACTTTGCTAATGAAAGTTACGTAACAGAAAGTATTAAAATGACGTTTCAAGAAGTACCTTAATATTAATTTGGTGTCAGATGTTTCCTCAATGCCCCTTTGAAAATCATATCTTCCCGACTTGAATGTCCGTAATTTGAGACATCGTTCGTTGTTTGAGAAGTTTTTTGTTCAGATAATTTGTTCGTTAACAAAACTGTTCGTGAAGTGAGGCTTTCGTGAGCAAAGTTTTAACTGCACTGCAGTTCACTGATCTTACTTTTTTATCAAGTTAACTTGTATATAAATATCTTAATCTTATTATGCACCGTTATTCATAAACATAAACTTAAAAATTGAATATGAAAGTATCTAATATATGATTCTATTTTGAAGCAAACAAAATTGAAGTCCTGCCGAGATATCGAAATTTTAGGAAAGAAGAAAAGGGAATCTCTTAGAAATAAACTTCTGGCGTTAATAGATAATGTAATCACGCTTAATTCGTATGATTTTATCCCAATAGTTTCAGTATGATTACCTATGCTCTTAAATATCATGCTGTCAGTTTAGTGACTAATTAGACTTTGAGAGAATAAGTTTTATTCTTCCAAACAATATAGGACTCCACTAGTGGCCAAGTAGTTAAGAATGCTGACTACTGGATGTTTGACTCGGGTTCGATCTCAGACGAACAAAATGGCTGCGTGGTTGGTTTTCATAGTTTTCTCTATGTGTAAAGTGAATATGAGAGAAAACAGAGGAGGAATACTGACAACGGTGGTGCCTTTTATAACAAATGTTCACGTGGAAGGACAGAAATATGTTCCACATTACAAACTACGCGTTAGTTTTTCTTTATAGTGAATACAGTCGGTATAAACAAAAATAATTAATAGAATTACGGGAAAACTGCTAGCCTTTATTGATTGAGAATTATGGAGCAGGTCAGCGAGAAGTTTCTTTTAGTGAAGAGAAGGAGACCACAAGTGGTCTATGCCATCTGCAGCTACCAAGGTTCTTCAAACGGAGACTAGTTCCAGGTTTTTTAAAGAGAAATTTTGCTCTGAAAGTAAAAGTTGAAAGAGATTCAGGTTAGAGGAGTGCTGTGGTATTTCGATAAACGAAGATTACGAGAATGGTAAAGACTCCTTCAATTCATTTGACCTGTTCAATGTTAATGATACAGGTTACATAAGAACCATCCGGAAAAAACAGAATGACTAGTTTAGAAAATTTCTTAAAACCTGGACCTTCAAAGAAAAACAAATGCACTTGTACAGAAAGGTAAAAAGCAGTATATAAAATAAACTGTACATTGTATATAAACTATACATAGTAAAACTACGGTGTACTACACTGCACAAAAAAGGGGGGAACGGTTCCTATATCCCCCTTTATACTGGGCTGATTGACGAAATTCAAACTGCGTTTTTCATGTCTCGAAAGCGCGACTTAGCATATGTACTAGATTTATACATGGCATTGTTGTAATATAGCTATTTTGATAAAAAAATCGGACTTTTTCTGAAACGACATGCTAATTCGTTTTCCATATTTCAATTCTACTACTCAAATTATGACAAACTGCCAAATTTTGTAAAAATCGCACGAGTTGTTTTTAAAAAATTAGCTGTCAAAAATTTAGTTCCTCAATGTTAATTGAATTTGACATATTTTTATTAAATTTTCTTGATTCCTTCTTCCAGAATTCAAAATTTAGGTTCATTCCAAATAAAATTCACCCATTTCTTATGATTTATTTTTTAAATTTGTATTTTTAAATAATTTTTATAAATTTTTCGAAAAACATTTTTAATTATACCTACAAAAATTTTACTGTCATCTTAAAGCATATGCATTTCTAAGTATACATGCAAAAAATTAGAGTTTTTTATTGAAAATTTCCTAGGATATACGTGAATTTACATATTGGTGCATTTTTTTAATTTAGCATATTTGTTATAAGCGATAATACAGCCAAATGTGGTTTACGCACTTTGTTAGGATTATTTGAAATAATGAACGACGACTTTTTCCCGCTCGTTTACAATGGAAAAAAAGGAAAGGAAAATAGGTTGCATTAATTTAAGATGTTTGCCAAGTTAATTATTCTTGGCGCAAACTGAAAAACTACACCAAGATAAATTTTTAAATTTCTCCATAAATTACGCACCCCATTTTACAAAATTTATTATTTAGGCATAATTTGAGTAGTAGAATCGAAATATGAAAAAAATGGCATGCTATTTCAGAAAATATCTGATTTTGTGTCAAAAACCTATATTAGAACAGTGCTATATATAAATCTGATATACATCCTAAGTCGCGCTTTCGAGACATGAAAACGCAATTTGAATTTCGTCAATCGGCCTAAGTAGAACGGGAGAATAGAACTGTCCACCTTTCCCCCCTGCACTGTACATACAAAATGCGTGTAAATATTTTTTAAATAATAAATTAGTAAACTCTTGTCCATTGTTATATTTATTTTTTTTCTCTGAAATGTTTTACAATGTTTCGTGCTTTTATTCGGGCTCCGGAACGATGAAATTGTTTTTATAAGTAAGGTATAGGAGACAGCGTCTCACATAATGAACGCTATACTGTGCAAAAAATTACTTTCTTTTCATAGTTGAGAATTCTTTGCACAGAGAGCGCACTGCAAAGAATTATTCTCTTTTTTTTTTTTTTTTTTCACAGAGAAAAGTCCCTTCTATATTATAATTTTATGAGTTCTAGTTGCATAAGAAATAGTAGATGTTAGTGTAACCATACCATATGTGAACAACTGTTCTTTTGTTCACTGTTCTGTGTGAAAGAGCAAGAGTACTAAGGCTTTTCATCAGTTCTATTTTAATATGAAGTCTGTCACATATTGGCCTTTGTGTATTACATAAACTTCCGAGCAATAATGTAAGCTGATATCTTTTGATACTTAATTTTTTTTTTTTTTTTAAATACTAGGGTGTTACCTCCTTATATGATGGTAATCGGAGCAACCCTGCTGCTTCCGCACTTAGGTTCCGGTCCATTCTGGAATGAAACAGTGGACCCTGTTGTGGAATCTTGTAAACAAAACTGGTGGACTAACATCCTTTTCATTAATAACTTCGTAACTACACCCGTACAGAGGGTAGGTATTACAATGCTTGTGCAAAGCAGATAGTTATATGTTGAGTTACTTTACTAAACTTCTTTATTTTGAATCTTAACATTAATAAAGCATATAAACAAAGCAAACATATGAACATATGAACGCAAATAAAATTTCACATAAGAACTTCGATTTGAATATGATTCTAAATGTAATTAAGAGATAAGGGAGAATCTTGTGTTGAATCTGTAATTATTCAAATTAGGTAAATTTTTCGCCATTCTTAATTCTGCTTAAATTCAAAAATGCAAAATCAAATAGAACAAAAATTTCTGTATAATATTTATACAAATGATATTGCAAACATATCCGCCTGTAGCAGAAATTTCTTTCAGTTTAAAAGTTTCAATAACTTTATAAATATCAAAGCATGCAATGCTAAACTTCTAAAACAAATACTAAAATGCTACAATTCATAATTTTCTAGCTCTTAATTAGGCAGCTTTCTAGCCATTTAACTATAATTACTCTATTCCGAAATAAGTATTCTAGTAAAATAAAAAATAATGTAGAAAAATTAATAAATCAGCAGCTTGTTAATATTTACAAATAAAAAAATTATTTTGTTAGCATTTTTTAAAAGGGCAAAATAAATAAGCTTACCAAATAAATATCGATGTCTGTTCTAGACAATTATAATTTACTATTTTCTAATTTTAGCTAGCTAATTTTTCTAGTTATTGAACTGTAACTGCTGAAAACTAAATTATATCAGCGTGATCAAACTCATGTTAGAAACATAGCATTTTTTTTATACTTACAAATTTCTAGAATTATTTTTGGTGTATTTATAACAATCCCTTCCAAAAAAATAACTTTCTTGATATAAAATAAGTAAGCATGCTACTGTGTAGTGTAAAAGAGATCTTAAATTCCAGTTGTCTCTAAAAATGAAATAAATCCTTTCCATATAAATAAAATATCACGTCCCAAAATAATAAATTTGGATAATAAATATGCCAAATAAAATAATAAATATGCCATCCAAGTGGACTTACTTGCAAATTATATTTTATCTTTTCTAATATCCTTTAATAATTAAGCTGATTATCCTAGTGCTAGTTACATACATAATTAATGTAGTTATGTAATTAATTAATTAATATAATACTAAGAATATAAAAACTGCAAATTAAATTTCGGTATAAAAATAAGTTGCAAATAAAAAATATCTCTTCCATAAATTTAGAAAAGTATGGATAATAAATATGCCAAATAAAATAATAAATATGCCATCCAAGTGGACTTACTTGCAAATTACATTTTATCTTTTCTAATATCCTTTAATAATTAAGCTGATTATCCTAGTGCTAGTTACATAATTAATGTAGTTATGTAATTAATTAATTAATATAATACTAAGAATATAAAAACTGCAAATTAAATTTCGGTATAAAAATAAGTTGCAAATAAAAAATATCTCTTCCATAAATTTAGAAAACTATTGACTGAAACTAGAAGAGAGGGGAGAACTACAACAATCATTAAGGTCAATTAAAATTAAATATAAGCTCATGAAATCATATAGTACAAATAAAAGAATGCATATTAATAAATGCATAGGAAAAAATGCATATGAAGAAATTGTAACAAAGAAAAATAAACAAAATAAATTCAATCGGTTTATTTAAAATTTCATAGAACATTCTGAAACTGATGTTAAAAATACTCAGGTCATTCATAAATGCAAGATATTTAAAAGATTTTAGAGAAAGCATCTAAATATTAGTTATCAAAATGTACTTTAAAATTATTATCTGAACAAACTCTTTAAAACTGTGAAACTCTGTGAATCTAGTGATTAATCAAAAATAGGGACTTTTTAAAAACACTTTAAAAATTGTTTTAAAAATATCCATATGTGTTCATATAATAATCGCAAAAGCATTATATAGGCTTCTTTCTTTGAGTTGTTTTTTATTTATAAATTATTTGCTTATAATTTCTTTTCAGTGTTTGGAACATTCTTGGTATTTGTCATGCGACTTCCAACTTTTTGCCATTGCTCTTTTTATCTTGTTGGCTCTTATAAAGTAAGTTAGATCTCTTTAAATGATTTAGTTTCAGTTTATCATTCAAATTTACTGTTTGTATTGCTAATGTGTAACTCAAAGTTTCCTAATAGCAGGCTATTAAGCAAGTATTCAATTTTAAATTAAAATACACCATTTAATCAAAGTTATACAGGAAGCAAATTCCACAATAAAATAATCATATTGCTAAAAGGAGGAAAAGTAACAAGATGTTTAATTTAAAAATTGCTTTAGAGTAATTAAAGGTTATATTCAGCCTATGAGAAACAGAATAGCAGTTTTTAAATACATACGAATTAATAAAATTATTTTATGCATTTTTAATAATTCAGAAGGAAAAAGGTTTCTTGGCACTACATAAATAAGTGTGGGTCTTCTATCAGGGTTCGTACACATTTCTGCATACGGAAATTAAGTACTTTTAAGGACCATTAATGAAAAAAAATTAAGGACCTATGAACAAATGGGAACTGAATAAATTTAATTAAAAATATTATTCTATGCCTGAATTTCAGTTTTGTAATACCATCCTAAAAATAAAATAGATCCCTAAGTAGTATGCATTATTACTGAACATGAATTAACTAACATAATTATTAATAAGTTTGAGAATAAAATAAACTTCATGCAGTTTATCAAGTAGCATTAAATATTTTACACTTACAATAGTTGGACATATTTAAAAGAAGCTAAGTGACATTTACGTTTTACTAATAGTTAGCTTTATGCTGTTTTTTTTTAATGTCTCATTTTGTCACATACTTGGTCAGTCTAGAGGTTTAGCAAATAGTAGGGAGATTTTATGTCAAACGGCATAGGTTAAAATGAGAAGTGAGATCATAATCAGCATGATTCATAACAAAAGACTGAATGTTGTCCCTCTGCTGCTTGTCTATAGAGAGACCTGCTGATTGGAACAAACTTGAAAGGCCTGATGTAGGCACGGTTGGCAAGTGTTGAAAGTTAGTCAAGCTCTGCTTAATGCAGTTAATGTCATAGCTTTGTGTAGAGTTCCAGCGGTTGTAACCCAGTTAATATACTTTAAAGTTCCAATAAGCCATTAAAGCACCAGAGGTGATAAGTTGTTTTATATATATTATAAGTCTCAGTAGATGCAAAGAATAAGTTTTACTTGATGGTGTTACTTGATGGGTGTTAGATGACGGTTCTCCACACAAAGGATTTGGCGATTAGATCCCCTAAAAACCCCAGTCGCCCTTTAAAAGGGAGAATATATAAGGTAGTTTTCCCACTTTCTTGGCGATTCTTCGTGGTGTAGTGGTTTGCACACTGGTAGCGGTATTCCAGAGGTCCGCGGTTCGATTCCTGGCGAAGCGTTTTTAATTGCTTAATCTTTCCTGCTTTCAAAAATACCTAATGTCTCAACAAGTCTTCCCAAACATTTTAGCTAGTTATATCGATTTCCTTCTCTTTAATTATCGATCTTTTCTGACAATAATTAGAAATTTGTCTCAATATGCAAACCAATCTTCTCGCTAGTTTTCTGTGTGTTTTATCTTCTAACTTGTCAACCTCTCCATAATGTACCGATGAGGGTTTACTTGATCTTGTAAAAGTTAAATAGTCCCCCCTCCGATAGACGTGAAGCAAATTATCACTGTATCTGAAAGTAACTACAATATCAGACAAAGAACTTAGAATATAAAGGCATGTTCTGATGCTAACAAAGTCAATTACAGCTCACGGTGACGTAATTAAACAAGAACAGTCAAATTCTAACTAAAAATGTGGACTAGTGGTCAAAGATAATACAATTTAATTTAAATTTAATCTCGCTCAGTAACTCTATCATATGAGGAAACAGAAATGGGAAGTTATAGTAAAGGCTGAAATGATAAACAATCGGGTAATTTACATAATAACTGCACATATCTTTGAAGAATAATTTTCTTTATGTATTCGGTTTCTTTCTTCAGCGTGTTTCCTTTTAATTTTAGAATTTTTGGATTTAATTAAGGATTTCTGTTATTCTAAAAAACACTAAATGCATTTAGATTGTACAGAAAAAGCGGCTAATTTTATTTCTTTAGTAATATGAACATTCAGAAGAAATATGAAATATATATGGTAAAGACCGGTTACAGAGCTGGTGTGGCAGAATTTTTAGAATTTAGTGACACACAGAACAACAAAATCTAGAAATGGCAAAACTTTTAGAATTTAGAGCAGGCATTGGAAGCAGAATTTAGATGGGCACTAGGCAGCAGAATTTAGGATACACAGAGATTGCATCAGGTGGGAAAATGCATAGCACCAGCTCTGTGTACGATGCATTTAGACATATTAGATGAATCTTTTAAATTGTAAGTTTTCAATTTCTTTATTAATAAAAAAATCTCTTTCTGTAATTCCTGCCCAAGTGATAAGATTAGAAGCAATTTTTATATTTTCCATGCTTTTGTCTCGTGAAAAGCAGAGAAAATAAAGGAAAGATAAACATGTTTAAAAAAATTCTAGTATCAGGAGTAAAACATTCAAATATTATGTTTCCATTGTTCTTCCAGACGTTCTCCAAAAAGTAAGAAATTCATCGCAAACTTTCTGTAAAATGCATCCATTACGTGTTGATATGTTGATACCATGGAGACACTTTTCATTTTGTCACATATTTCTCGAATCTTCTAGAATCGGGGGTCTATAAATCTTGCCTTGAAATCCTTCTAAACTTTCCATGCTGCAATGTCAAAAATACTAAAGAAAAATTATCCCAACCAATTCTGTAACAGCAAAAAGCCAAAAATACTTTGAAAAAAAAGGAAGGAAAAAGTATAAAATTAATTTTACAGAGAAAACTGATGCCAATTCTGAGAATTTTGAATAATCTGAGACAATTACATGGGAAAAACGCTTACTATGAAAAAAATTAAAAACAAGGCATTTTAATTAATTACATAGCTAATTTTGCTTTTACTAAGAACTGTTTCGTAAATTATGCTCTGTAGCTATATACCTTGTTTATTTTCCAGATTTAAAATATTGCATAATAAGTTGCCAAAATGAAACTTTATAATATGACAGCGAAAAATAAAAATGTTTTATTTTAATGTTATTTTTTAAATATGATTCTAATACATTACCATTATTTCAATGAAATTTATCAATGTGATGATGTTTTAAAAACATCGCCGAAAAATTCTCACATCTCGGAATTAAAAATTTTCTATAGAAACTGATCTTAAAATCGCCAAAATGTTGACATGTTGTCAAATTTAGAACCATTTAATAAAAGAATTCACAATCCAAAAGCGAAAAGTTGTTTAAGAGCTCTTTATTAGAAAAAATGAATTTCGAAATGCTTATGTTTCACTTCTTGCTTAGAAACTCGAGTATCCCATCATTTATATTAGAAATATAAACAAATTATAACCCATGAACCCATTCAAAAGATAACCATATACGTCAGGGAATTGCCAAAAATATTCCTCCAAAATGCTAATTCACACTCAAAATGGCAGTCGTAAAAACAGAGAGAAATTTCAGATGATTAAAATTAAGGACCTTCTACTGATTTTGGCCAAAATTAAAGACTTTTAAGGACCAAAAATCGATTCCAAAAAAATCTAAGGACTTTTAAGGACTCTTAAGAACCGTACGAACCATGTCTATATATGTGCGATATAAAACACATTTGTCCATAAAATTGGATTAAATTACTTTCTATACAGAAAGTAATTAGATTTATAATAGCATTATTAAACTAATAATTCAGTACAATTTTTTTATATAAATAAAATTTGACATTCATTTATATTTAGTAAAAAATAAGGGAATAAGCTCCCTTAATCTTTTCAGATCTCCTTTAATAATTAAGATAACAGTTCCAGTAATATTAACGCATGCTGTAATTAAGTTTATTATTCATACAACTTTTGTGTACAGTAATCATCAAAATGAGATCTATTGGTTTTTGTTACCTTAATTTACGATGTTCACACAATAAAGATATTATTTACATTTTCCTATGATGTTTTTATATTGACTTAAATCTGATTAATTAAAATTAATCAGTAACACTTTATTTAAAATTTTATTTAAATTTACTGAATGTGTAGAAAGGAAAAAATATTAAAGTTGATTATATTTTTGTCTTAAAGTTTTTAAAGACAACAATATAATGTATATAATAGAAATACTTTTTTTAAAGAGGGAATCAAAACCTGTGAAAAATATTCTTTAGGTTTTAGTTATTCCCACTGACAAATTTGTGAATCATGAAAAATGAACATATGTTTAGTCGAAATTTTCTCTTTTAAAAATAATTTTATTATTTCCGGATGCTGCAGATGGCAAAAACCGAAAGAAAAACTTGGAAACTACCTTAACAGAGTTTTTTAAAAATGATAATTAATAAGTCTTCCAAATACCACAATTTGATGTTTATTTATAAAGTTATTACTTTCTTACAGTACAAAATAAAACACTCCAAAACATAATTATTGTCTTATAGAGATCAGGCCTCTATTATATAAATAGAGATCAGGCCAAAAACACAGCATTCCTAAAAAAAACTGCGATCTTCGAAATACTATGTAAACGTGATTTTTTTGCTTTTTATTTCCTTGTACGAAGTAAAAGAAGTATTGTAATAATGAAAAATTCCGGGTACCATATTTTAACGAAAATATCCATTTTGACAGCAATCGAATGCAAATTAAAAATGTTTTTGCGTGATATCTGTACGTAAGGAGAGAATAAAGGCCTTTTTCTTCCCAAACGAATTATAAAACTGATTTAAAATGAATTCAGAAGAGATTATTTTCATGGCGTCTGTATCTTACATAACTCAAAAATGAAAAGACTCAGAATGTTGAAATTTTGTATATGGAACTGCTATAACATATAGCTGTGCATCTCCCTTTTTGGTTGCATACTCTGCTACTCGGTTCAGTGAGCTTAGTTTCTTTATTTTTATATGTTGGTAAATTGTACATTTTTTGCTTTAAAAAGGATTGCATTATGTTGTTCTTATCTTCTGGTTAAGGTTTCTATGACTATAGCTAATCCGCATGCAACATTTGAGAATTAGCAACAATTTAAAATTTGATTAATTGCGACTAGGCTTAATTCGTTTTTTCCATAGCTGCCATATTTATTTACATTTGAAACTTAAGAGAACAGTGAACTCAGTTTCTGCACCTTCAGTATTTTTTTGGCCGAGTGAGACCAAAAGTAAACTTTCAGTTTTATACACAGTCTTATCACCTCACCAAATTGCTTGTTTTTGCCTAGAAACTAATTTTATTTGTAAAAATTGTTTTTTTAATTGTTTCAACGGTTATGTTTTATGTTTTCTATATCTTTCAATTTTTAATGAAAATGAGTTTTTATGTATTTTTGCCTTGCCGCGAAGTGAGAACTGAATTAATTGAATGAGAAATATATTTCTGAGGAAATGAGTTTATAAAAAATGCAGGAAAAAATGCTTATAATTTAATATTCCGTACAAGGATGTCATTTGGTATATGCATCAGCTTTTTATGAAATGTTGAATTAAATTATATGCAGTTTTGGGAAGAGGAGTTGTACCATTTCATCTTCTTTTTATTTTTCGATATAATATCCGCAAATGCCTTGTAAATTGACTTCATCTATATGTGGAATATGAAGACGGTCATAATAATACTTGTAGACTGAAGAAGTACGCTTTCAAATATGAACTAGTTTTCCTAAAAGTTTACGAGTGTACATCTGCTCCTTCTCCTCTTTCTTCTACTGTTTCTCTCATCTCCTTCTTCTTTTCTTCCTCCTTTTCTTCGTTTTCTCTCTTCTCCTCCATCTACTCCTTCTCCTTATCCTACTTTTCATTCTCCTTCTCCTCATTCTTCCTTTCCTTCTCCCTCTTTGTTTCCCTCTTTTTCTTATCCTTCTCCTTATTCTTCTTCCTTTCCTCTTTTTCCTCCTCCTTTATCTTCTTCCTCTTCACTTTCTCCTCCTCTTTCTCTAATCGTGAGGATCCGACATTTAAAAGAGCGCTCAATCCTTAGTTAATTTTAAAAGTCATAGATGAAAAGTCTCTAAAAGCTGAGATGAAAGTCTCTAAAAGCTCAAGTGACGTCTGCCCCAACTTTATTAAATAGACTATTGATAACACTTTCATTCTTTATGTTGCATCAAATGTTAAAGAAGAATCAATGTAAGACCGCTCAGTATTCTTAATTCGAACTTTACAAATGGACTGGCTTTACAAACGAGCTAGTTCGAACTGTACGAACGCGCTGGCTGCATGGTTTGCTTTCATGTTTCCCCACTGTACCTGTTGGCCTTATAGTAGCCTTCATTTGCTTTGCCAGATTCAAATAACGTAATTAAATGTTTTCGAAATATATCAATTATATGTTCATTTCCTGATTCAATTTTTAGTGCTTCAAACCAGAGCCTAGATTAATTTTTTATTTGTAGGTACAATGTGTACTTCGCTGTTTCGTACCAGGCCACTTTTTGCTTTCTATTTTAATCATTTTACTCGTTTTTTTGCAAGCAGAAAATAATTCAGTATTCTCACATTAATATATTCTAATTATCTTGACAAGCAAAATTTATCCCAACTTGAATATCTAACATCTTTTCACTTACTTCCTCGTTGACCTCAAACGATGCAGGAATAATATCATTTTTACTTTCTTTGGAAAATAAATAATCAATTGTCTCTTTTATAGTATCGAAGATTTTCCCATGTATTTTATTATTTAAAGTAGAACAGCAAAAAAGTAGGAAAATAAGTTTACAGTGTGATGTGAGCAGAGAGAAAGAAAGATCCAGCGCAGTGTTCTATTTATATATTATAGCAACACCTGGATTAGAATATTTAGAAACTAAAGTTACTCTTTAATAAGACTGAAGTTAAGGGAAAGTAATTGTTTTAAAGATAAATAAAATGACTGTATATTTATAATTTTATTATTTTTGAGAAAAATAGATAGCAAAGAAGAGGGCAACACAAAATGTTTCGTAATCATTTGCTTTAATACGAGAACGAAATAGTTATTCGCTAAACCAGAAAAAGCCCTTTGAACTTGCTATTCTCAAGCTCAGTGAATGCTTATTTATTTATCAATTCATGTCAGAGATGAAGTATTTTGCTTTTTTCTCTGTTGGCAAAACCATACAGTATTCTATATGCTGTGAACATCGAATTAATTTATACAATCTGTTTTAAAGGATCCTTCTTGTTTGCAAAGCATGTAAGAATGCAATCTTCAATGCGTATTCTAGTAAAATAAACGATTTGCACATGCAGCTAGCAACTGAGTGATCCGTGGTTCTGATGTCGATGAAGGTATGGTTGGAATTTCATGTTTTGTGTTCCAAATAGCTTAATAATCACTACAGTATCTCCTTAACTAAAATATGTTGAAAATAATTCTGTACATCAAGATTTAGCTGTCTGCGTCTCTTTCCCCTCTCAGTCGCTCTTTAAGTAAAAAAGAACGTAAGGAATTTTCATATCGGCTTTTGCACTCTACTTGTGTAAGGTTACCATGTTCATCTACAGATGAAAGATTTGTGTTTCGAATTGACAACTAGGACATAGTTAATTTTTAATGTTTTCCGCAATGAAAAGCCTTTTAGTCGGTACAGGAGAGCCAGAGCGAAAGTTTCCTGATCATTATTTCGTCACCATCTGGAGTTATGCATTTGGTCTCGTACCTTCTTCGTTTAAGTGAGAAGAGTATTAGAAATTATCGCCGCATTCTCCGTGCGCAATGTACGGGTGTTAATAATTATGGTCAATTAATAGATCGGCCTCTTAGACAGTTACCCGATGTCTGTTTTGCCATATTTAAATATTCTTATTAGGTGGCCCCTTCACTTCTACATAACATATTTAAATAGCCAATAGCCTACCAGGTAATGAAAATCATTAATCTTCATGATGTAAATGAAGATTAAAAATCTTCATCACCTGGTTGATTTGTGGTTCCTGGAGTAAACGAAGATTTTCAAGTGTTCCAGCAAGTAAATGCTAGTAATATGAAGTTCAAGGTTCATGTGGGTCATTTAACGCTACGTCGGAGATTATTCTGTATTCTAGCAACTGGGCTAAGTTATTTGGATTGGAGCAAAACATACGAGGGCTATTTGCCTAAAGGAAGGGACTTCTGTGGGCAAAATGTTTAAAGGCAATTGGCTTGTATTCGTTTTACACGTCAGGAAAACCCCGGAAATTCCTATGCAGCCAGCTATTTACCGGAGATTTGAACCGGATTTAAGTACGGGTGTTCAGCGTTTTTACCTTTTTTCCGCTGGTGAACTTGCTAAGTAGATTATGTTTATTCCAATATTTTACATTAACGATATTTCGAAATTCTTGAGTTGCTGCTTAGTTTTGTTTCTTGTAATTTGAGATTCTTTTTCAAAATTTCAATAACTTCGTTTTTTTATTGGGGGGATAATTATCTATTTTAATTAGGATAGAAAAAAATGAAGGAAAAACTACTTGCAAAATTAAAACGGAATATATTCAGGTGCGTTTATGAAAAGCTAATCAAGTAGGCGAGATACTAGTTTTTTACCTTCTGTCATAGATATATGTATTAAAAGTGTCTTTGTGTTCCTTATTTGTTGGTTGTTTATATTTTCTATTAAAATTTTAAACCATGTTTCGTACAATTTCCTTCCGGAATTCAAATGAACTCTTTAAATAACATTTTTTATGTAAAAGTAATTGCCATTTGTTTCCTTTAATAGGCGTCCTGCACTTGGAATTGCTCTTAATGTGGTGATGATTATGGTTTCCATGGTGATGACAGGTCTCCTTACGTATTATTACAAAGTACCACCAACATTGCTCGCAAGTTTTCCTGATCCTGAGTAAGTTAAATGTTTAATTCTTTAGCGTATGCATTATTAATACAGTCCATTAAGAACTTTCCTAACCTATCATTTTAAATACATATAACAATTATCAAAATTAAAAGCATTCGTGAGTATTATTTTGATATAAATTTGTTTTAAACTGAAATTTTCCATGAAAAAAGTCTGGTTTCTTAAATTTATGTAGTTGTCCCAGAAAGTGGTTACCAAAGATTGGTGGGATCTAATTCAGCACAAAGCATGGCGCTGTGATAGTCGTGTCTGTGCCAGTTTGCGGCTTTTAAAATCTGTCGACACGGTTGTCCTATCGAGAGGTTTGCGGTTATCGGATTACATCCATTGGTGCCCTCTAGATCAGACTTGGAATGATTCAAAATTGGAACAAAGTAGTAGATAGACTTTATGTGCTTGTTTGATCCAGTCGCTTAATATATGTATTATAAAAAAGCATATATATATAATGCTTTTAATGGATTCAGCAAATGTAAATTAGGTAATCCAGATAGTAATTAATAAGAAGAGAAACGATGAAAGATATGTATTACTTTTAAATCGCTTACTCTGTTCATTGATAACAGAGAGATTCAATTTAAAATAAAAATTAAATATCTTACTCTTTGTCAAATGGCTAAATACTCGCATATAGGTATTATAAGGTATTTCTCCCCCCTTCTTTGCATGCCTTCGTGATGTAGTTGTCAGCACGCCCGGCGCGTATTCGAGAGTTCCGTGGTTCGAGTCCCGGCTAGGACATTGCTTATTTTCCATCTCACCTGCTTCGAAATAACCTAATGTCTCTACAATGGCGCCCGAATTAAAAAAGGTGGTGGATGATGATTCTCCACCAACAGTATTTGGCGATAGGGTTCCCTAAACCCCAGTCGCCCTTTAAAATGGGAAGTATATAAGGTATTTCTCCCGCCTTCTTAGCCTACCTTCGTGGTGTAGTGTTCAGCATACTGGACGCGTATTCGAAAGGTCCGCGGTTCGAGTCCCGACGAAGGCATTGCTCATTTTTCATTTCACCTGCTTCGAAATAATTTAATGTTTCTACAGTATAAATCTCTTATTCCGGCAGGGAAAACACATTTCTTTTAAATCGTTAGGTTTGTTGATTAAATCATCTCTTATGTTACGTCGAGTGGCGACACATTTCTTTGAAATCTCTAAGTTTTCTGGTTAAACTTGAAAATTAATATCTTACGCTTTGTGGAGCATTCTTTTAAATCACTAAGAGTGTTAATCAAAGCTTTGTTAAGTTCGCCCGAAAAGTAAAGTACGTTAAAATAATTTCAAACTTGGGTTTCGAGGTGCGCTTATTTGGTGGAAGTCTATGTGTGTTCAGAATTGGTTGCTCTAGATGACGCAATTTCCCACAATGCGAGAAACATACACGCATACAGGCACACGTACATACATGCATACGTATACTTCATTATTTAATAAGAGCGATTACTAATTCAAAATTTTAATTATACTTTTATGTTATATTTTCGAGGCCTCATAAATTCACCCAACAATAATATTTACTGAAATAGGCTAAAAAGATACCGTATTCTATCTTGTATAAGACAAACTTTTGTCACAAAAAAGCAATACACTTAGAGGTGCGAATGATACGACTTGTACAATCAAGAGTGCGCTTAATTATAATTTACTCTAGCTTTGTTTCATTAGAATTTGGTACATTTTGAAAACGAGAATTCAAAAAAATAGGGATAAAAATCAAGAGTGTAGCTTGTACACACGAGAACACATTATTTTGTGAGCTACAGTAGTTTGTAATATAAAATACTATTTTACCTTTTAATGTAATATGAAAACTGCTCACAGTAAATATCCAGCACAACTCCTTATATTTTTTATAAGTTTCATGGCTGCAATTCTATTCCAAACCTGTTATCGATGTGGAGGTTTCTGTGTTTTTTTCTCATGTACTTGGTTTAACTCTCAGTCAGTTTTCTTTTGAATCTTCCCTGTCTCAAGGTCCAAAACCTTTGCATATTTTTCTACAACTTATTACCACGTCGTTATTAGTCGCGTCTGTGTTACGTATTGCAAGTCACTGGTTTCGAATATTGTGAGAAACTTTGTGATTCCACAAATTAAAATCAAATGCGAAAGAATATTAGAATACTTTTTTTTCGCAAAATTAAGCGTTTAAAATGATTAATTGAATAGTATTTTTTTAATATTTCTATTGATATTGTTAAGAAAATAACGTAGTCCTGATTTTATGATTAAAGCTATAATGATATGAACATTTTCTTTTCCGCATATTTTGAAGGCTTAATATTTATTTCTTTTGAGAATATTAGGGTTTCCCCAAACCCTCAAAATGCTTCATTTTACTATCATTTTTTAACATTTTTCTCCAAATACAATTACAATACTCGATAAATTATTAAAAAAATAATATTTCATTTTCTAGAATGATTATTATTCTAAAATCACTTATTTCAGACCCACGTATAATAGTAATTCGAAGGCTATTATTAATTAAATTTTTGTAAAGATATTGATTAGAATAAAATATAATAAATGGGAAGATTTGAGTTGCTTTGTCAATTAAAAAACATGTTGCATAACTAAAGGTTTCTAACGGATTGAATCCATATCGAATCTCGAATCGATAATAGCTTGGTAAAATTTATTTTTCCATAAGAAACACTTTGCAGTTTTGAAACTTTCTAGAAAAGTACTCGTACAGCTCTTCACAGTACAAGTTGTTACATTTCAAACTGCTAAGAACGTGAAACACAACTCAATGCAAAGCTCTTCTAAAGAGAAAGCTACCTAATCCGGAGATATCTTAGTACTCAGACTCCCGCTGAGCTAATAACTACAGCAACAACTGAAGAACTGATTCTGTCTCCGGCCTTATATAGTTTTCACCCGGCCACCAAGAAGTCTCTGTACTTTCCATTTCTAGAAATTACTAGAAGAAATATATGATTAAAGCTGCATATAAGGACCGGATATGGTTGCAGTTACATATTACAGTTATTCAGTTACAGGCCCAACTAGAGTTATACATGGAACGGACCAAAATATCTCTGAATGGTCTCTGAGTTTGTAGATTTTTGACTATTTCTCTGGAAATCTGGTATGGTTACAGTTACGTAGAGATCAATTATAGTTATTCAGTTACAGAAACCCTTTACAGTTATACAGGGACCGAATCAAAATGTCGCCGAAAGGTCTCGAAGTTTTTCCATTTGGGGCGATTTCTCACCAGGCGAGAAAAATTAGTCGCCAGAACCATTGCTAGTTTGGCCTCGCCAATTCAGTGAATTAGCCATTTACTCAATGTTAAATAGATTTGTCAATGAAACCTTATTTTTCAGGCAAAGCTCCATTCCTGGCTAGGCACAGGACATTTTCCACGTCTCCTGTTCCGAAATAAAGCTCCAAATAATCTCGACAACCTTGAATAAAATTCTTGAATTTTTCAATAGATGAGTATACGAATGATATATCCAAAATATGAAGTTCAGGAAAACTCTGTATTTTCAAAACTCTCGTAATTGCATGGTTTCCCTTAATTATTGATTCCATTAAATGTACTTACATTTACAAAATTCCTTTTAAAATTAGTTGGGGAATTTTATGAAAAAAGTCTCAAATCTGTACATGGGAGAGTTCTGTAAATATTAAATCTAACCTTTTTCGTAGTCTCTCATCAAAAATTACAATTCATAAAATGTCAGTATGACATTTATTATTATGACATTTATTTATTATGACATTCATTTATGTCAGTATGACATTTATGACATATATTTTAATGAGTTAAATGTATAATACTCTGTAATGTTATACATTAAGTTTACAGAGATATTCTGTAATGCGTTTGCAGAATAATGTCACTGTGATATAGCGTCGTAATTTGACGTAGACTGACGTGATGTTTGCATTTACATAAGCATACGTAGTCTATATCGGACAAATACTTTATTATTACACGAACAAAATAAACAGATGTAATTACATAAATTTAGTACCATAATATTCCGTTTGCGTGCAGCGTAACGTAACTTATTGTGATATTTTCTTCTTATAAAATATCGACTCTGTATCACTTGAGAGAGAGGTAAAAACGCGCGCCGTTCGGGTAAAGTGCGCATGCGCGGTATTCATCAGATCATCGCAGTCCCTTTTCAGTTTTTCTCACTGAGCAAAACTGAAGATTTTTACACTCAGATTATAAAAGATACAGTTCTTCGAGAATTGTACACGTAAAGCTATAAAACAATTTATTTTAAATTTTTCAAACCGTAATGAATATTTTATCAAATAGAAATTCTTCGCTGAGACAGTCATTTAAAATTTACCAAAGCGTATGAGACTGAAAGATTGTTTGAAAATATTCATATAATTATCTGCATTTTTTGACAGAGTAGTGCAGAAATTATGATATCTCTAGACCTATAAGACTGAAGAAAGAGGATGGATTTTTGCAGATAATTTTAAAATTGAAATCAGATAACTCCTTTCTGGATACAGAAGAACTCTTGAAATTTACTAGTCTTATCCTCCGATGAGCTACTAGAATTGAGTGGCATTTGATGTATGTAGAATTGAATCGCAAAGCCATCATTAATCGATGGTGAACTAAAAGCAGCTACTATGGACACAATTTACTTCAAATATCGAAAGAATAACTGGCTTCACATATACACTTATGAATCAAAAATGCTCGGCAAAGTTGTAGCTGATGCGTATTCAGAGATTTTACATTTTATTCTTCTTTTGGTCCATTTCCGACCAATTCCGATGGAGAACTGGAGGCAATTAGAGTTGCGACAAATTATTGTCAGTACAATCCAACTCAAAAGTATTGTTATTTTCCAGATTTCCTTTCCTTTCAGCGATTTCTGCACATAATGTCGCGGAATAAAAAAATTATTGAATCTTGTAGAGGAACTCTTTTTTTTTTCCTTCTAGCCTTAAAAGGGATGATTATTCTATTATAGTAGATCCCGGCACATATTGGAATAATTAACAATATGGACTGATAAACCAGCTAAAAAGGGAACTGAAATTTTGAAGTTAAATAGCAGTGAGTACCATTTACTTCAATGGAAAGAATCGTAAAAAATACTATGAGGAAAAATTCTGATGTTAAATTACTTGTAGAATTAATAAGAAGAAGTGGAAGGATTCGATTTGTAATATCCCGGACTCTTCCAGATCCATCGCAGTTGCGGCTTTCCCTTTCGAGAACGGACATGATTGTCTAGCTAAACATCTGTACTGCATGATAGTCCCTTTTGCTCATTGCTCAACCAGAGATTTGAAATGGACAGAGGTCATTTGCTAAAATGCCTCGTTGAAGTAAGGAAAGCTATAAAGTCGAGACTGGCGGGATAGAAAGTTGATGCAGTTGATATCCAGCGAATATTTTTTTTCTAATTTTCTAGTTTCGATAGAGTTATTGTTATTATAATGATGTTAATTACTGTTTTGGTTTTCTATAATTCTATTTTCGTATTTTTTTCATGCTCTAGTATCATCCATTATTGATGCATGGGGGCCAATAATGTATAAGTGCCTTTGCAATAAAAATATATATGTTTTGGAAACTTTCTAATCCCAAATATGTGTCTAGGATTTACATCTAAAACAAATTTCCTGTAGCCACGTTTTTCATAAACTCTTTTGTAAATAATTGGGGTTTTCATTTCACACACACAAGAGTAAATACTTCATTTACCCAAACTGTCAACCCAATTACCAAAACTGTCAACGTTAGCAAATGAAGCTTACACTGAGCAATATATTCTTACTCATTTGAAATGTTTCATTCATTGTTTATGTCATCGAGTTTATTTCTTTTTAAATGATGAACTCAATCTACTTTTGAAGCCATTAATATTTGAAGGTTAATAAATATTTATAAATATGCGATTGCTTAATTAATTTATTACAGTAAAGCACCCGAGGTCTATCTGCCTAAGGATGAATATACTCATTGAGGATTTTCCGAGGAAAACTGTTTCGTATTTATTTTACACTTGAGGAAAACTACAAGGACCTACGATTATCCATCACAGAGTCGTTAAACCATATATTTCTACTCCGGGAAAATAATAGAGAAGAACCAGAAAATCTGCCAAATACATACCTCATTTGGACGCTAAGAATTGAAATATGGACTTTCTATGACTTAGACGCAAAGTCATTGATAAGTCTCGCAAATATATTTAACCCTTTGAAGGCTGCGAGATTAAACAATTCCTTATTTCCAAATGAAAGTGATAACTGTCAGTCGTAAATTTGTAATGTGAGCTGTATTCGTTTGCGCCCACTACGATGCCTTAATAGAATGCAAGCTGAGTTGTTTGATGACCATCAATAGGTTAATCTACGTATATAAATGAAACAATAGGATAGCAAATAATGGCTAGTAGTATTCAGTTTTGGCACAGATTGAATGAATGGTAAGTTTCAAAACAGTAAATGATCTGAATATGAAGAAGAGTTCCACCAAAGGCCGTCGGCTTTTCATAGTGAGCTTAAATCAACAAGGACACAACACATGTAAGATATTCAGAAAATGTTAGCATTTAAAAACTCATTGTTCAAATTTTTATCTCAGTTTGCATAAATATGATTAGGAAAATGTTTATGACCGTAATTCGAAAGTAAATTTTTGGCAGAAACTAAATACAAATAGCCAAGATGTTATGCAAAGATAATGCCTTTCTGTATTGCAAAAATACTATGGGTTTCGGCTTCCCTGTTCCGAGTAACTGAATCTCACTACAGGTCGACTCTGCCTTCGGGCACGTCGTGGAGGTTCAACCTCCACTATTACCCTCCAGCAGAGTCGCGCACCACCTGGATACGTCACCAGGCAGCACCGGTCGTCAATTGCTCCTGCCAGTCGCTCGGGCGAGCCCGTCGCAGCGGGACATTACCCAGCGACCCCGGGGGAAAACCCCACGGGTTACTAGCACCACGCCGCGCTAGGACGTGCCAGACTCGAGGCCGGCCAATAAGTGACCTTTCCCAGAGCCTTCAGAACCATCAAGTTCATAAATTTTATACCCCCGTGGCCGAGACTGCCTAGGTACAGATCCTAGCCAGTAGCTTCGCAGAGTTCTCTACGTCGACCCCCGGGGGGGATTGCAAAAATACTATTCAAAAACAGATAGTTTCGTCTCATATCCTTTTACTACTGAGAATATGGTGCACAGACCATTGCTTTGCGCAGTCATAGTGGCGCCATCTTTTGCGATTATGAGAAACTAGTATCTAGCATTTAAAGGAAATGGGGGAACTAAGAGGATCGGGTTTCCTGGTGGAAATTTTTGTGATATACCAAAAAGAAGTTACAAAGTTGCTTAATTATTTGACTTCCTATGAGATCTTAGAGGAGCAAAAATATTCTTTACAACTGGATATCCAAGAAAAAATATATATCTCACTCGCATTCTCTAAATTACTTAATAAGGGACAAAATTATTCCTTGATGCTGAATTTACGATAAAAGCGATCTTTTTTATTTATGTGCTTGAGCTTAAATTTTTTTAGTACATAATTTATTTCTGTGATAAAATATAAGAATCTGATTAAAATCAGTTATTCCAAATGCGTAATAATAATGTTCTAATTTCTTATGATTTTATCCCTCCCTCAGAGAGCGCAAGTTCTTGAATCACGTCATCATCAGCAAGCCTTATTGTCATCTCGGACCTTATTGCGTAGGTTTGGCAACCGGATACTTCTTCTATACATGCAGAGAGATCAAATTGAAAACTGTGAGTGATTTTTATTTTGTTAATGGCCTTTTTTCCTACCTTCTTTATTGCAAAAAAAAAAAAAATGAAAGATAACTTCCCATATAAAAAGAAAAACTCAGAAAATATTATTTAGGAAACAGGAAACAAAGAACAAAAATTTATAAACAATTTTCTGAAGTTAGAAAGCAGACGTAGAAAAAAGCGTGGTGCTAATAATTTCGGTAATTATTTAAAACAGTAGATTACTTATATAAATTTTAATCTTGCCCATGTTTAAATTTATTTCATCATACCAGGAAAGGGAAATACTCTAAAAAGGGAGTTGGAAAAATTGAATAGATATGAATCTTGTTGCCTTTTATAATTTTTTTCCTTTATTCTTATCATAGTATCATCACATCATCGGTTGGGGAAGTGCGGTATCTGTGACTGCAGCCGTTGTGTACGGAGTCTTGGATTGGAATAAAGGAAATATGCCTAGTACGCCAGCTGCTCTGGCTTATGCTGCCACCCATAGGACAGCCTGGGCTCTAGGTCTCTCCTGGATAACTGTCATCTGTGTTGCTGGTTATGGAGGTAAGACATATTTTCGTTTTCAATATGCAGTCAGTCATTATGTTCTTACAGCGATCATGAGTTTTACTCGGCAAATAAATTAACGCAACTGAATGTAAACAGTGAACAAGATTTAAAAATTAATTTTATTAAGGAGTGATTTAATTATTAATTTAATTTTATTATTAATGAAAATGCTTTTTACAAGAACTGTATACCACTTAAGCATGGATGGTATTTTATTTTAATTAATCAGCTATTATGATTTGAGTCTTTATTATAACTTCTCTCTTCCATATTCCTCACCAGAATGCAAATTAGAAGTGAGTATTTAAGCTGAGATTTTTGGATTTGAGGAAGAGAATGCTTCTGGCATTCGCGCTCTACGTGGTTAGTTCCTGGCCTCTTTAACAGTTATAATTTCTTGGCTTTGCGGTTCTCTCGTCGCCGATACTTGATTCCTACGCGCTGGTAGAAGTATTAAGCCAGGTTTTAGTGTAATACAGGGTGGTTATAATTAAAGTTCCACTTTAAGATGGTCATAAAAGGAAAACTACTGGACCAAATTTTATCAAACGTTTTAATCGTATAAACGAGGTCATGGGAATTTATTTTCTGAAAAAAAAAAAAAAAAAAAAAAAAAAAAAAAAAAAAAATTCAAAATCTCACCATTAGGAGGGAAATGGTGCTGTATGCAATATTGTTAAAGACTTGAAGACATCGATTTAAAATGCGTTTAATCGTTTCTGAAACGTGTTACAAAGCATGTTCAATGTGTCGTCCACCATTTTCCGAAAGCAAGTTAAATCATCGCATTACTGCATTCTGAACAGCAGCTATTAGCATATCAGGATGAATATTCCGGACACGTCGGTGTATCGCATCTTTCAATTACGCCAAATTGTTTAAATTTATTTGCGTAAATAATTTTCTTCTTCCTCCTGTAAGCCATTGCGGTTTTGCCTCACCCTACAAACAGCTTCGTTTTAGAAACGATTAAAAACGTTTTAAACCAAATCTTCATGTTCTAGGGCCGAATTCAGGCCTAAAAAATCACAAATTAGAAATCCGTAAGAAAAGGATTTCCGGAATACGCACACTTTTGCGAATAATTTGCGATCTCATATTTTCTAATCGCTAATTTGTAGTTTTCACGGACGAAAGTCTCCATTATTCGGATGGCGCACTCGACTTTTATCGCTTTTAAATAGTAATTGTGTTTAGGCCATTGTTTCTTATGGGTATATAACATGCTAAACCTGTGTAACAGAAGGTTAAGTTAGATTCCGACCCTTATGTCGTTTAACATTATTGCATACAGCGCCATTTCTCCCCCTGGTGGTGAGTTTTTGAACTTTGTTTTCGTTTTCGCGACAAAACGATTACCAAATTTGATAACATTTGATCCAGTAGTTTTCCTTTTATGACCATTTGAAAGTGGAACTTTAATTATAACCACCGTGAATTTATTTGTGTAGTCTTTGACTATTGTTCAGTGTTTAATTTAAATTTGAGTTTTGGTTATTATATCACAAGAGTTCACAGTTATGTTCCTAGTTCTGCTTAAATATAAAGGTTATTATAACCTTCTTAACTGCGATTTTTTTCAGACACAGCAATAACTCGCTTCACGTCCGTGAGAATTATAGGACTAAAGTAGAACTAACAGATTAAGTGTAACCTGTAAGCATGAAAAAGACTTTGGGCTGAACTCAGATTTTGGGTCAGATGCCCTATAATTTCCAATAATTCCTACAATCATCCTATAATTTCCTAAAATACCGTTCCCCCCCTTAAAAACAAAGGAAATAGATGTCGGGGACCCTCGAAAGTACAATGTGCCTCGAAAGAACACCTTCTTAATCCAATAACAAATCAGGAGTTTTAACAACTTTTATTTTTAATCAAATACTAGCCGCTTGCAAGCCCAGCTGCCTAAAATAATTATTATAATCCATATGTAATGTTTATAATATGATTTTAATAAATCCAGCTAATGTCATTTCCCAAGTTCAACTAGTAATTAATAATAATTGAAATGAATATATATATATTTATTGCTTTTATATCGCTTGGGCTGTTGCTCAGTAGCAGAATAAATTTGTAAGGAAAAAATTAAATATTTTGCATTTTATCGAATAGCAGTTTGTTTCGTTTGTGGAATAGCAGCCACATGGAATATAAAAGTATTTTATTTGGGGCAGTGGCAACATAATTCTTTTAAATCGTAGATTTGTTGGATTAAACTCGAAAGACAAATGTATTGCGTTTTCCCAAGTAGCAACGTGTTTTTTTTTTTTTTTTTTTTTTTTTTTTTTTTTTAAATCGCCGAGGTTTCTAATTAAATTTGAATATAAATATCTTATCTTACACTTTGCCGAGTGGCAACACATTCCCTTTAAATCGCTGATTTTTTATTCAAAATATGATTAAATTCGTACATAATTTGAAATAAATAAAACAAAATTCGAATTTCAAAATTTTGACTAAGAAATGCATATGTTTGGGTGGAGGACTATATATGTTTTAAATTTAGTGGGTCTAGCTGCCGCTATTTTCGGCCAATGCTAGAAACGTACATGCATGCAAATTCTTCATTTATTTAATAATTAAGAGATGCTTGGCGATGGATCATTCCTATTTTGGGGGGGGGGCTTTCAGATTTTTTTCGAAGGTTTTCAGGAAGAACACACAAGTCCAACCAGTATATGTTCATGTTCAGGCTGAACTGATTGCATTAAAAGCTGCTCTTGTCTACGCACTGGAAAATAACTATTCCAGTATATATTCAGACTCAGCCTCTAGCCTCCAGACAATCCAAGACACATGTAGTAAAAATCCACTCGTCAGGGCCATACAAAAACTCTTACTAAGAACACCTAAATACTATAAGCCTGAACTCCAGTGGGTACCTGCCCACACTTTAATACTGGGTAATGAAATTGCAGATGCATTAGCCAAAAGAGCAGTAACTGACCCCCACGTTCGCACACTTGACGTGCCTCTCCCGGGTTCGTTCTTAAAAGCTGAGCTCGAGAGAGAATTATTCAAACGTTGGCAACATCTGTGGGAGACAGAGACCACCGGCAGAAGAGTTTACAGATTTTTTCCAAAAGTCTGCCGGCTTCTAAAATGTGGCTCGTCTCACTTCACTCAGTATCTAACAGGACACGGTCCCTTCATGACTTACCTGCATCGCTTGAGACGACGCGAAAACGAGCATTGCTCATGCAGGATGGTAGGAGATCCGGACCACTATCTGTTCGCTTGCAGAGAGACCGCCAAATATCATCTTAGGCAACCAGTAGCAAACCACCCACCAGGCCTGGGCCGAAGCTACTTCAAAAAATCGCAATGCATTGAAAACGCATATTGCATAAACATTGCACGCAAAATCTCAGACAGGCGGAGTAATTCTCAGCCACCATCCTCGTCACCAGCACAGCCCCTGTATGCTCTGTACCTGTAGTGAACTAATTTTATCTTAGTTAGCTTATTCGGCTTTCTTATTCCCTGTATATATTTTATCTCCTTGAACTGAAAACCTTGAATTATGAACCTTGAACTATGTATTTTGCCTTATTTTATGTATTGTTTCCACTGTTTTGCCTTTTTTTACGTATTATTTTACTTATTATTACTTTTAGTATTTGTAACTACCTATCCATAACTCTGTAAATATGTAACTGAAATTGTTCTTCACACCCGCAATGCACCCTTCTTCCATCATGCACTCTCGTCTTCGTCCAGCATTTGTTTGCACTGCCCCCAGCAGTCGTCTTGAGCACAATATATATTTATACGTGTGTTATTTTGTTCAAGTTATTTCCGTCAGCGGGGCTACAAGTATATGTTTATGCACAAGCGACAAATCTGTATTAATAGAGGAAGAACATAAACTACAAACCAATATTGAGCTTGAGTATAAACAACCATCTCATAAAGCTGAAAAGCTTATTAGCTCATATACTATACGCATACGAGCTGACAACCAAGTAATTTTTAATGCATTTGAAAAATTAATGAAAATGAATTTGTATTTTTAAATTGTATGTTAGTCCCCCCCCTAAAAAAAGCATAAAATTTCAATGAGCCTTAAAACTCTACGTCATTCTGAAAAGCAATCAAACATAAACTAAAAATGAATGCATAAACGTCATCAGTATGTTTATATTTCTAAAATATATATCTTAAAAACCTTACGGGTAAGTAAATCTCTTCCTTTCTTTGGCAGTCTTTTAACATTACAATTTTATCATAATAAGAAAAATGAATAAGCAATGTTTTCACGTTTGTTTTATTATATCAGTGATATGCATTAAAACATTATTTTGTATATTTACAAAATCTTCCCTATGAAATATCACAAATAGTTCACATTTATTTGACGATATTCTTTCCTTTCAGGTATTATTAACAGAATACTTTCTTGGAAGGTTTTCATTCCACTGAGCCGGCTGACATATATGGTTTACCTTATACACCCTCTCATACAGTATATTCTCACTGGATATATACGGGAGAGATTACAGACTAATCATATTATTTTGGTAAGTAGGATCGATCATACATCTTTTCCCTGTCTGAATCAGCCGGCTTTTTAACAATCAACAGGTCCTATAAGCTAAGTTGCAAGCAACAGCATATTGAAAGGTTTTCGAGAGGATTCAAAATGTTTCTAACAATCCATATATTTTGGTGTTCAGAGGTTAAATATGATTCATAAAGGGCTCTATGTTTAGATTTAACCTAAGTTAAACAGAACAAATTTGTGCGATTAGCCATTAACTTTGTAAGGTATTTTTAGCTTCCCCACTTCAAAGTGCATGCATAACTAGTAGTATATACGGCTAGCAAACGGAAGATCTGAAGTCTGAACCACGCAGAGGGTACAACTGAATTTCCGGTGTCGTTTGAAAAAGCCTTATAGACTCTACACGCGGCGCTCGACTGAAATGTAGTCGGCACTACTGGGTTTTTTCCCTCACCAAAAATGTCGTGGACAAAAAATTGTCTCTACCTGGATTTGGTGACTGGGTCTTCTTCCTCACCAATCTTTTTGATGTAGGGGAGATTGTAAGGCATTTCCAATTCCCCACTGCCTTTTTCCATAGTGTAAGTGGTAGCATTTATGACTATCGATCGGAATAGCCGAGTTCTAATGCCGGTAGGTCAACGATGATTTTTCAAGTTTCTTGCTTCGACACACATAACTGCAAATTTTATTACCTGAAACTTTTACGGGCAACTAATTTATGCTTGCTTGTTTTAATTCTATTAAAAAGAGGTATTTAAGTAATTTTCAGGAACTAATTCTAACACAAATTCACCTCTTTTTTTAAAGGAAAGAATAATGAAATCGAAACACAATAATTCAAGCCAATTATATATTTAATAACAGATTACTAAGTGGACCACAATATCTTGTAACATATTATTACATCCCCTCAGTACATGCTCCCGTAACGTAAGTGTAATAACTCGTCATCTCCTGGATTTGATCGGCAAGTTCTCGTGCGTCTTCCTAGTTGTCCTTTAAGTGTAGCATAATCTCCCCCCCCACGCATGCTGTTATGATATCAGTGGTTAGCAGTATGACTGATAAGTGAAAAATCTGTGCTTGAAATCCTAGCGAAGACTCAGTTGAATTGTCATGCTTCCTGCATTGAAAGTCTAGTAGTATTTGCAATGTAATTTTCAGAACATCGGGAATATTACATAATATCGACATTAGACGACTAGAAGGACTTATAAAAAAAGTTCAGTTCTTTTTTTCCTGACCAGAACCAGTGCTTGGCATTAACTGCCTGACTTCTTTAAGGAGATTTTAAATGAGCAGATCTTTGAAGAGCTAACAGGAGCATTTATATGTAAAAATTGCTTACAGAAGGTTAAAAGAAACGGATATAAATGCCAGATTTTCAGCAATTAGTCTCTCGATTCCTCTTTCGAAATGGTTTGCGTATTTACAATGATATCGGGAACATCGGAACTGGAGTCCGAATCAGCGGAGCAATGCTCTCTTTCCTGGAGAGGGCAGATTCAATTTGCGGACTGATTTCCATCGTATCATTATCATCATACTTCGGTATATTTTAACTTTAGTTTCAAGACATTGCGTAAAATTTTATTTTACAACAAAACAAGTTGCATACATTTTTGTATCAATTCCTGTATATTCCACAAGAAATCATTTCTAAATTTAATTTCAAACTTCCTGTTATTTAAATCCGTAAATTGTGTTATTAGTGAAATTAGAAAACAAAATATAGAAATTTATTTGATTAAAGTCTTTTACAACATTTACGATTTTAAAGCATACTTATTTTAAATTTTTGACAACATTTACAATTCAGAAGCATATTTATCTTACTTTGGAGATATTAAATTATTTCGAAGCAGGAGACATGAAAAATGAGCAATGCCCTCGCCGGGACTCGGACCCCTCAAATATATGCCTGGCGAGCCCACCCTTACACCACGAAAGCATGCTAAGGAGGCGGGAAAAATACCTTATATACTCTCGCCAAATCCTGATGGTGGAGAATCATCATCCACCAGCTTTTTTAGTTCGGGCGCCACTGCAGTTTAGAAAGCAGGAGACATGAAAAATGAACAATGCCCTCGCCAGGACGCGAACCGCAGACCTCTCGAATACGTACCGAGCGTGCTGATCATTACACAACGAAAGCATGCTAAGAAGGCGGGAGAAATACCTTATTAACTTTTGAAAGAATTTACAACGCTAAACCATATTCGTTTTATCTTTTGGCAACGTTTACAATTCTTTAACATAGTTATTTTAAATTTTTGACAATATTTACAATTCTAAAACATATTTATTTTATTTTTTATAACATTTGAAATTCTAAAGCGTGTTTATTTAAATTTCAGGCATATTTTTTCTTCGGACACATCATGACGTCGTATGCCCTATCTGCAGCGTGTTTCTTTCTGTTTGATGGTCCAGTGGAAGCACTGATGCGCCTGTTAATGGGTGACTGCACAGCTCCTGCTCCAGAACTGGCCAAAAGCTCAGCTATCAAGAAAGTATCTAATAACAATCTACAGAATGAAAAACAGAGAAATCTGTAAATTAACTTTTCTTCAAAGAGAAATTCTTTTGGTGCTACGTCATGTCTAACCATTCATCTGACTGCTGCCAACGCTGATCTAAAAACTGGATCGCAATGTATCCAATAATTATAAATCAGTCTTTCGATGGCTGAAATTCAAACCAAAGTGTTTCTTTAAAACGTGGAACAATATTTTTTATTGAAGAACTGGTGGTCAGCATACTACAAGGAAATATTGATTGCTGGCCGATTTTACACTGCCCTAATGACCGATGGACGCAAAGTTTTTGCACCATCCAATGAACTCAAAAAGTACTATGAATCAGATTTTCGAATATTTATTTTTTTAAATATGACAATTGCATTAATAAAGATTTTACATGTTAACTAATTTTTAATGATGATAAATTAATCGAAACTTTTGTAACACTAAATTTTAATTTATGATGCATACAAATATTATTCAAATCAAAAAGGCTTATTACTAGATTTATGAAGTTTAGCTAAATTTTTCATTTCATCCTCTCGAAATGATAATATTATACTGATAAAGTGAAATAATATTTGATAGTATCATGCTAGACATGAAAAAAAAAAAGACTATACTGCAAGGCAGAAGCCACTGTTTCTGAGCTATTAGTTTACATAGAAGTCTCAGTTAAAGATTATAAAATTCCTAGGAAATGGAATACGTAGCAGTCTTAACCTGAATTATTGGTTTAAGTATGAAGCATTTTTGAACCATTAGTTATGGAATATTTCCTACATATTTTAATAACAACAACTTAAATACTGTGTATGTATTACTACAAGCTCGAAACTTCCATAATTATTATTACACTCGTTTTTTATTGAGTATCGCATGATACGATTAACTATTACCCTATAAA